GAACATTTAAATAGTACACAAGTTCAACTTTGTGACAGAATAACAGAATACAAAAGACCACATAAAACCAAGTCGGGAAAACAAGAAATATTATATACACAAAATACATCATAAATTTACATTGCCTATGTATGACCATCGCTGAGTTAGCATCAATATACGTTACGTGAAACAGGCATAACATAAAACAGCGCAGAAGAGTGACACAAATTGTGACAAAGCTGTTAATTTAAAATGTTTCTAATAATGGAAAGATATTTTCATGGTACACTGTTACAGTACACATAACTTTGGTATTTTAACTTCATATCAGCATCTAATCAAGTGACCACCTTCACTGACAACACTGTAAATAATCATTAACATTATACAGCCTGCAGCAGTCTTCAGTCATTCGTATGTGAAATCTCTGTCCCTCTAATTCAGGGACAGTCTACACAATTGTTTAGTCAGTCCTACATGCTATCTTCACCATCCTAATTCAGGGACAGTCTGCACAATTGTTTAGTCAGTCCCATATACTATCTTCACCATCCTAATTCAGGAACATCCTTCACTTCAGGGACAGTCTGCGCAATTGTTTATTCAGTCCTACATGCTATCTTCACCATCCTAATTCAGGAACAGTCTGCAAAATTGTTTATTCAGTCCTATATACTATCTTATCGATCCTAATTCAGGAACATCCTTCAATTCAGGGACAGTCTGCACCAATGCTTAGCCAGTCTTACATGCTATCTTAGCGGCCTCCGTAGTCTAGGAGTAATGTTCCCACCTCGTGACTCAAGGTATGCAGGTTCAAACCCGGCAGAGGTCGTGGAATTTTTAAGGGCGGAAAAATTCAGGGAACAAGTCCTCTGGGAGGGACTTTAAGTCGTGGGTCCCATGTCATAGCTTTATGGCATGTAAAAGAACCTCATGCCCCAAGGGGACCTCTGAGCCAAATTCAGGACATTTCCCACCCAACAGTAGTCTCTAACGCCTCTGGTAGATGGGGGAAGCATCAAGATACCGCTGAGCCAGTAGAGGCCGAACTCGCTGGCTGAGTCAGGACTGATGGTACGCACCAGTACTGGTAGGGTATAGTGACTGGTAGAATATCACAGGGGGACGCACAATGGACCAATATCTGGTCTAAGTGCATGGGGAAAGAAAAACCCTCTAGAATAACAACAACAACAACATGCTATCTTCACCATCCTAATTCAGGAACATCCTTCAATTCAGGGACAGTCTACACAATTGTTTAGTCAGTCCTATATACTATATATATTTTTTTCTGTGGCGCTACACTCTCCGTTTCACTTCGGTTTACTAGATCTTACACATACGGTAGGACTCCTTGGGCGAGTGATCAGCTCATCGCAAGGTCTCTACCCGTAGACAAACACAGAAAAACGCACACAAACATCCATACCCTGAGTGGGATTCGAACCCACGATCCCGGCTTCCGAGCGAGCGAAGACAGTGCATGACATACTATCTTATCCATCCTAATTCAGTAACATCCTTCAATTCAGGAACAGTTTACACCAATGTTCAGTCAGTCCTACATTCTAATTCTGGAACATCCTTCAATTCCATGCAGTACTGTTTAGTCATTCCTACATGCTATCTTCAACATCCTAATTCAGGAACGTCCTTCAATTCAATGAAGCAATGTTCAGTCATTCCTACATTCTGTCTTCAAGATCCTAACTCAGGAACGTCCTTCAATTCAATGAAGCAATGTTCAGTCATTCCTACATGCTGTCTTCAAGATCCTAACTCAGGAACGTCCTTCAATAAGGGGCAGCCTGCAGCAATGTTTTGGCAGTCCTATGTACCATCTTCAACACCCTAATTCAGGAATGTCCTTCAATTCAATGCAGCAATGTTCAGTCATTCCTACATGCTATCTTCAACATCCTAATTCAGGAATGTCCTTCAATTCAATGCAGCAATGTTCAGTCATTCCTACATGCTATCTTCAACATCCTAATTCAGGAATGTCCTTCAATTCAATGCAGCAATGTTCAGTCATTCCTACATGCTATCTTCAACATCCTAATTCAGGAATGTCCTTCAATTAAATGCAGCAATGTTCAGTCATTCCTACTTGCTGTCTTCAACATCATAATTCAGGAATGTCCTTCATTCAGAGAAAGTCTAGTCATTCAGAGGTAGAATCTTCAATGGCCTGATTCAGGAACTTCAAAAAAAAATGAACATAAAATTATTACAAATTTTGTTAACTCAGAATATTAATAAGCAATGCCTGAAACCACAAATATTTGTCTTTATGGCAGGAATTGGAGCTTCTGAAATAATTAAATGATTTCATCCATATCAACAAGAAAATACTGTTACTCAATGGATTTTTATGATCCTTAACTACAACAAGGTAAATATACTGCATAAGAAGGAACCTATTAAGGATGAAATGTTCATACATTTTGCACAGAAAAATCAGCTGATCTTAAGTGTTCTTTTAGCTCAGAGGTTTAAGCACAGGGGCTTCTAATGCCTGCTTGATATTTTACTCACATGGGAGTACAATTTATAACAATGGCCACATACAAGTAGGAGGTCAAAATTTCAACCAACAAAGGCTTTCAAGAGAGCCATGCATGCATTATACTAACAATGTCACACCACACCTTTCACAATCTACATAAATAATCATTCACAATTGATAGGCTTTGACTTCAACAATATTACATTTCAGCATCCTGTTGCACTGAGGTATATAACTTATAATCTTGTTTTCCATCTATAATGCAACAATATTAATTTAACATTAATATTTAATTCACTAAATGTTCATTACATGTTTAAAATGTCATTAGAATTATTAAAATATACATTCGGTGTTTATGCTACATGTTTCAGCCACACAAGGCCATCTTCAGGCAACACATCCTTTTAAAGGAGTCTGCTGCACTGTGCGCTTGGTCAAATTGTATTCTTGAGGCACGTCGTTGTTGTTATTGTTATTAACTTCTTTGAATTCTGATGCTGTAGGATGAATTTCTTCCTATCTTATATATTGCGGATGTTTTCATGTTGCAATGGGTGTGTCACCCGCTTAGTTGTGTGTAGCTAGTGTTGCTTTGTGCTCCTTGTACTGATCAGACAGATCAGATACATCTAGTGTTGCTTTGTGCTCCTTGTACTGATCAGACAGATCAGATACATCTAGTGTTGCTTTGTGTTCCTTGCACTGATCAGTTGGATCAGATACACACAACTAAGCAAGCGACACACGCAATGAGACACAAGAACAGCTGCAATATATAAGATAGGAAGAAAATTATCCTACAGCATCAGAATTCAAAGAAGTAAATAATAATAATAATAATAATAATGACTTAATGAATACAATTTGACTAAGTACACAGGGCAGCAGACTCCTTTAAAAGGATGTGTTGCATGAAGATGACCCTGTGTGACTGAACCGTGTAACATAAACACTGAATGTACATATATTTTAATAATTCTAATGACATTTTAAACATTTAATGAACATTTGGCGAATTAATGTTATTAAACTAATACTGTTGCATTATAGATGGAAAACAAGACTATACGTTTGATTTCAACAATTCTCCAAAATGTTTTGGGGGGTCCTTAGATGAGACAGTGGGGTGACACCTATCCAGTTGTGTCCAGTGGCAGAATAACTCTTTCCAATGGATCCGACTTGGCAGTGGCCTGACCACATTTTCACCCAAAGATGAAAAGACATTCAAACAAAACAAAACAAAACAAACTCCTTTATTTTAGTCTGCAAGTGAACTATACTGACCAAGCGAGCGACTGCCGCTTGTCAGCGAGAAAGACATTCACTTTCCAAAACAATGTATTCTGTTTGAAACACTAGATGATAGAAAAAGTCTAAAACACCAGTAACATTAAATCCAATATACCATCATTAAAACACTTTAGAATTAATACATATGACCTCTAAATTTTCTGCTGAAATTCCATAAGGCATTTCACTTGTACTGTATCAGGCTTTGTAACCACCACTAGTTTTGAAAGTTCAAAATGGAATTCCTTATGCTTTGTGATAAATTACAGTTAATGAATCCCATGGAGTAGAGTCTTTCTTAATAAACTAATAGTTTTCTTTTTTTATTGCTAGTGGGGTGGGACTAAGTCCCTTGTACTGTGGCCACTTCTGGCCTATTGTACCAGCCCCAGATGATAGGTGAGGGTGATTGTGGAACAACTGGTGGAATGAAGATTGGCAGGGGAAACCGAAATACTCGGAGAAAACCTGCCCCAGCACCACTTTGTCCACCACAAATCCCACTTGACCAGACCCGGGATCGAACCCGGGCCGCCACGGTGGGAAGCCAGTGACTAACTGCTTGAGCTATGGTGCGGCCAAACTAATAGTTACTCAGAATTTTATGGAACTCAAAGGTTCATTACCATGTTTACGAAAGCCCACCACTGAATCCTATCAACACTTCCATTCCTGTACCTCTATGCTTGAAATCTCTCTTTCCTTCAGATTTTCTTATTAAAAATTTGTACACATTCCTCTTTTATACCATGCATGCTACATGGCCACCCATTTATCCCTCCTTCATCCGATTAGCCTAACAATATCTAGTGAAAAACAGAAATTATGAAGCTCCCCATCACGAAATTTCCTCCATCCTCCTGTCACGTCCTCCTTCTTAGATCCAAACACCTCCCACAGCACTTTCCTTTCAAACACCCTTTGTCTATGTTCTTCCTTTAATGTGAGACATCAGGTTTCACACCCAGATAAATTCCAGTTACTATCATCGAAAAAATCTTCATTGCTGTCTTCCTACTCTGCATTGCTACCATTTTCACAGTCACCATTTCTTAAGACTCACAACAAATGTACTACTGAACACCAACCACCAGGACAGGCATCCATATATTGTAAACTACCATAAATCTACACATGAGCATAAAACAGTACACAAGAAATGGATAGAACATCCTGAATTCATTGTTTCTGCGATTTACAAACTTACCAGAACACGATTTTCTGTCTTGTCACCTTTTGTTTCCAACCTGACAACATTCTTGAGCAATATTTTGACGCGTTTTCCCAGCAATGACTTCACACTCTCTGCGAGAAAAAAGAATTACCACATAAAAAAAAAACTTGTCTCCTTTCGTACAAATTGTTCCTGATACTAAACATGAAGTTATGAAATTCAACACCGTTTATGGAACCCTAGGGCAGAATGAGCTCAAGATACACGTGCTACGTCAAATATGTTTTATAAACTGCTCAACAGGCAAAATCTTGATTTAATCTTGAAAAGAAAAATTCATAATTACATTCATCCTTTTATTTGAATCCTTTTACATTTATGCAAGGAAATAGTAACAGTCAAATTGTCTACCCTGAAGGTGGAGGTGGCAGATTTCTCCGAAACGTTGGTAATATTTACCACACTACACGACGTCATATCCCTGAAAATAATAATCTTCTGCTAAGTGTGTCTGCTTGGTGACACCACGTTTGAATTAGTCTTTATCTCTTCGGGTTTTCCTACTCTACTTTTAATCAACAAAACTGGCCAAAAACAATCCCTTATACAGGAAAAAGAAAACATGATATGTCAATTTTATTTACGTTTTCTTAAAAGTGGGGTGTGTAACTTGTGCGACCTGAATGGGTAATTTGCGTGCACCAGTACTAAAAAAGAAAACCAACATTTTATGTGTAATAGCGAGGAAATTACCGTGAAGAGAGTAGCTTAACAAGAATTAACGTTCACATATACACACACTAAGTAAATACGACCTCAGACATGTAAACAACCTCATCATGCAGTATCAATGGTTGACTTTACCATTCAAATCCTTCGTGAGTTGTGATCTTGTGGACATCTTACTGAAATACAGAGGGCCGTCATAAGACACAGCGCTATGTTAGTTGTTACTCATTAAAACTGCGCATTTCTTATTCACTAACCTACACACACCACATAATAAAATAAAAACTCAACAACGCATTACAATGCATACAATCCATTGCAACTTCCCCTAACCCACTGGCTCCTCCACAGATAACCACAGATTAGGTGAGAGTTCCACGGACCAGTTTCACTGACCGACACGCAACGGAGTTCTCCATGTGTTCCAAAATGACTCAGTTAAGTTGTTTTTGCCCAATCCAATTGTCGATCTTCTGTGGTTGATGTATGGCGTAGTGTAAACATGGCAGGCTCAGTGTTGGAAGCCGTGCGCAACGTACATAAACCGCTTATTTTCCAAGGTACAACTCAGTGAATCATTTATATATTATATGCTTATACAGTTAGAATTTTGGTTTAAGTGCATTGTCTGAGTGTACGGCATCCGTTGTAGCATATCCAACCGTAGAATAGTAATGAGGTTAGGTTAGCCATCCCTTGATTTTACCATGCTATTGGAAATTAAAAATGTCTGGTTTATGTTGAGATTCTGATTCTGTAGAGCGAAAACATGGCATTTGGAATTGTTTACTACATAACATTGGCGTACAAAAATTAAGGGGTTTGTGCAAACAGATTGTAAATTAAACATGGGTTAGGGAGAGACGTTTAGGTTAGTCTTTGTGTGACGCAGCACACTGATTGCATTCTCTCCTGTGTGTTCCAGAGCAGGCACCCGTCCGGAAATCTCATCCCTTTTAGAACACCAGGAACCATATAGGAAGTATTGTGTTCTGCTGTCTTGACGTGTAATTGAGAAATATCAATCATGTCTGTTCAAAATATAGATGATCTATGTAGTGAATTAACTACCATTTTGGGTGACTGCCTTGCAAGTGGTAGAATAAATGAAGCATTGTCTGTTATTTACAATGTTAAATATGATCAGTGCATAAAGGATAAGAGCTGGGATATTATACCTTCAGTCACGAAGTTTCTCATACAGGAAACTGTTGATAATTCGCCTGAAGTTTTTGACTGCTGTGAAACGTTGCTCAAAGAAATTGCTGAAAAATCCAGTCCAGAAGAAGCACTGTTAGAATTCCTGGAACAAGCTGAAAGTTTTGAAAATGATGTGAAATTCCTTGCATTGCTAAAGCCAATTCAAATAATATTGTTTAAGTTGCCAAAAAGAAGAAGGCAGTCCTTAGAGTGGTGTCTGAATATGATTGAGTCTCATGTTACATCACTGCCAGTCCCTGAAAACTACAGACTAGAGGGAGAAGAAAGAAAGCTCTTGGATTCAGATCCTTGTGTTTGTCGCATAACAAAAGTATATGGAGGAATTGTGCCTTTTTGCAAGCCTTTTGTAAATGAAGTGTCACTGCGACAGAGAGCTGAATACCAGAAAAATGTTCAGAGAGATTTACTTATATGCTTTATCCTCCAGCTTTTGGGGCATCCATTAGCATTCTTAGACTTGGAGTGTTACGAGAAATCAAGCAGTGCCATCAGGTCTATGACGGAAGAACTGTTGACTTTCTTAACATATCTTGCGGGTGACCTCATGGTTTTCCTTGAATATGCAGAAACAAGAGAATCTGAAAGAAGATCAAAGAGAAATGAGAACTTTACCACCGGAAATAGTGATGAGGACATTTTCTGTAGAGAAGATAAAGTTCCAGTTTTATCCATTGCTATACTATACTATCTCGTACTAGCAGAACATATTCAACTGAGTGAAGCTCCCTGTATATACTCACCATTGTATATCTTCCAAAGATGCTTGTATTTGATAGTGGTTCTAATAAAACATTCAGAAGAACTTGTTGTACGCAAGGGATTGTTGTTAGCAAATGCTGTATTGGTAACATTATCAGAAGGCAGTGTTCCATGGAACATACTGGAATCGCCAATACATAAAGAATTTGTGGAATCTCTTTCAAAAGTCATGATTTGTTGTGAAGTGGAGAGTTTTAGGAAATCTGCAGTCCTTATATTACGCAGTTACTTGTTTAAGTTTGATGCCAAAGGTCGATATTTACTGATGTTGAATCTTCCAACAGTTGTAAACCATTCAGGTATCTTAGGCTATTTGATAACACAACTTAAGGATATGATTATTAATGCACTGAGCAGCACCATGACACTAGCTTACTTCACTGGCAAGACTCTGTATGATCTGATGTCAATATATTGTTCATTAGAACATGGGGCTGAAACTGATCTTGTGGAGAATGTCGATCAGATTGTTTCAGCCCTTAACTTAATTAGATTCCTTGCCCTTCGTGACCGAGAAAATAAAACAGGGATGTGGGATTATGTTGGAGTTCTTGAGAAATCTTTGCTTGAGCCTCTCAGAGAAGGCATAAAACTTTCCAGAGCACATTACAAGCTGATGCTCAGAGACCTAGAAGAAGAGAAGAATGGCATGGTGAACAGTGATGGACTGACTAGAAAGTCGAATGTGGCAATAACTGTTGGAGGTCAGATGTTACCCAACTTGACTCATGAAAATAAAGTGACAGTTATAACATCAGCTTTGAATTCATTTGAGCTCATAGAGAGTTTGCTGAGTCGCGTGAATGAGTGTATTGACAGCGGTACATTGAAGTCATGAGACCCTTCACCTTTATGTAATACAAAATTGTCTTCATATGCAACATTACTGCAGTAAAATTGTAATTATGTTGAATAAATTTATGGTAATATGCTATGTTATTTGAATAATAAATACATTTCTCTTTGCACACATTTATTGCAATGTACTGTCAATCAGTAAAGTAAATAAATATTTGAAAAGCGAAAATGTGCTGCTCTGGAACAAACAGAAGACTGCAGTATTTGAATGAAGGAATCATATTAGAATTTAAACACATTTTTAAAAATCAGTTTCCAGTAGTAGCAAAGTATCTTTGAAAGCAGCAGCATATTTTCTTGAATACACATATTATTTACTAGCTCCCCATATTGACAGAAATGTGAGTGTCTTAATTTATACTGTTCTGTACCAATGTTCAATCTTGTCATACAAATGGAGTGTTGCCATTTGAGATTTTGCTGAACATCCAACATATGAGTGTCCATCTACTTCACAAACCAGGGCACATCATACCTTGTGTATGCAACCTTACAGAAGAAATGTCTTGTGTGAGTATGTTTGAACGTCCCACTGGTGTATGAATGCTGGAAGAATGTTGAATATATTATCCAGTATCTTAATAATGATGACACAACAATCTGTATCACTGCCTAGTGATAACACACAGATTTCCACAGTAGACAAATGTAGCATTGCAGTAAGCACAGCATAAAACAACAGAATATCATTCCCTTATGAATGACTTCATCTCAATAAGTTTCCTGTTTCTTCTGTACACCAAATTAAATATAAATATCACCAAAGGTTAGCAAAATGACAGTTTATACAAGCCACATATATAGCAGCAAACAGAATTGGGTTTCTAGATAGAGAGTAGACAATGGATAATGTCCAGAAACATAATATTTGTAAGAATGGGGCTATATGTTATTCACACCGATATATTGGGTTTTTGGACTTTATCCATCGTCCTGGTTTTTAAGATAACTAATAAAAACACGACGTTTCGGAAACTGGATCTGTTTCCGTCCTCAGGTGAAGGAAAACACCTATTCTGTTGGGTCCGTTAGAAAGAGCTAGCCTCAATCACTGGACTGGATATCAGTGTTTTATACACCATCGTCAGAATCCTATAGTAACTACTATATGTTATTACCTACACCATTCACTTCATCCCATGACACTAAGATCTCGTCTGATGTACCACTTATGCCTCTCAATGAACATCTGAGGTTCTTGTGATGGTGACTGTCTTCAAGGATGTGGCACCATATAGTCTGGTAGAAATTGACTAATGGTTTGGAGGGATGCACAGCCTCCATCTTCAGGGTCAAAGAGTAAACCAAGCAAGTAGAATGACCTGAGCAGGACGAAGATACTGTTTTTTTTTTCCACCTCCCTCCATATCATTCTCAGCCCTAGTTAGTTTTTGTCTGCCCAGCCACCCACACCAGTGCTCTTGCCTCCACTCTTCCTGTTGATCTTGTTACTGTCCAGGCCCACATGCACCTCCCATTGGTTACTTGTGTTCTCCCCCATCTCTTTGGAAGGAAAATGGCCCTTATGAAGCCCCATAGCCCTTCTTTCTTTTTCTTATTGGTTTGCTCAGGGCTTCTTACACCAGAGGCTGTATGTTCCTCTAAAATGGCAGTAAATTTCTATCAGAATACATGATGGCACTTCCCAGCACATCTGATATAGCTGTATTCCTTCTTTTACTTGGAAGTGTCATGTCATCTTCCAGGTTTGCGTGGGTTATGGATTAACCGCAGACACAGTAATGATAGAACTACAGCTGAGTCCTCAGCATCCAGTGAAGAAGAGAGCACAAGTGAAAAAGAAGATAAAATAAAAGAGAAAATATTGAGAGCATCTTTACCATTTGTTCATGAACACGGTTGGACCAAACACGCAATTAGTGAAGGTTTGAAATAACAAACTGATAACAACTGCCCGGATTTATCAATTATGTATTGATGTGATTCACAAAATAATGCAAATTATAATTTTGCAGGGGCAGAGACCATTGGCTACCCTGGTACTGCTCACGGTTTGTTCCCTCGAGGAGGAGCAGAGCTCATTCAGTATTTCTATGTCACATGTAACCAAGAACTTGCCATGGCACTAAAGAAGGAAACCGAAGCCACACCTGCAGACATATCAAAGTAACACAGTCAGCTCTTCAGGTCAAAGCCTAGATGTGCATGTCATATAACTGCAGTATCCTTAGGGGTACAAGTATTGCATAAGTGCTGAAACTTCAGGTTCTGCTACCAGAGAGTTAGTTAATTAGTAAGATGGATTTTACAGGGAAATCGGCTGTGAGGATGGGAGGTGGATGGAACTGGCTCAGGATCATGTCCAGTGGTGGGCTTTGGTATTAGTGGTGTTGAATTTTCATGTCCTGCTACTAAAGCTTAGTTAAGTATAGGGCAAAAAAAAGCTAAATGCTATCCCTGTAACAGGCCATGGAGGCCCAAAAACCCTAATCACTTTAGATTCCACATGCTGATGTACCAGTCAACTACAGAAATGTGAGTGTAGACATCTGCATATTCAGGCTCAAGTCTAATTACAGTAGACAGGCTTTTATTTCATGATTATGTAACTAAGTTCCATAAACAAAAAAGAAACATTGTATTAAAACTATAGTATTCTAAGATGACACCATGTAGTTTGGTGGAGGGTCAAAGTAAACTGTGATGATGGAAACACCAAGTTCTTTCAAATGTTGGTGCTGTCAGTGTAAACCACCTCTGAGGGTGTCTCATCATTAATCACAGATATATATGATCATTAGAAAGTCGCAACATTCTGTTCTCAACCTAGAGCAGGATCTAAACTCGATACTGGAGAGCTTGTACAAACAGCGAACATTTCTTCTCTAATGTTACCTTCTCAGGGTATGATGTACAGAGTATCTATCAAACAGCATGGTGTCACATGCCAGAAAACCAGTTCTTACTGACTGCAATGAGAACCTCAAATGTCATGAGGTTCGGCACACTTCTTCCTTTTCTGCGCTTACTGAACAATCATCACTGTTTCCAGATCCAAACTGCCAGCAGCATTCATTCGAGGTGCAGTTGAGAAACGTCTACGTATGATTATTCCATACATTAACAAATGGCCACAAGCCCTTGGTATTATGTCACTCCCTGCAAACGCTCCATCGGCTTTGGCCAATCTCCTTACCCTGGTGGACGATATCTGCTATTATGCTGGAGACAGATCAGTTGATGTAAGTCACAGTAATAGCCACAAATACCAGTCTACTGCTTATCTTATTCACATTGCAGTGAAAGTTCTCCCTGCGCTTGATTAAACACCATGCCATGACGATCTATGGGGGAAGCAATCAGTTCCACATCCCGGCCACTTTGTTCCCAGGGAAAGAGTCCCTTGTACCCATGGGACAGGAGACTGGGTAGGCCTCGGAGCTGGCCTGAATACTGCAGAGAAAAAAGAAGTCCGTCTTTGCCAGGAATTGAACCCTGATTCACTAATCATCCAATCCACTGACTAGTCACTATACTGACTGACCTATACCCTGCTCCAACATACACTGAAACTACCAGTCCTGGATTGAAATACTAAAGTAAGGAAGGTATGGTATCGGTTTGTTCAGTGATGCTTTCTTTTTGTTTGTGGGCTGTTTTACAATGTTGTGTGAACAGACTGTATAGTATAAAATGGTATGACTGATGAATTCAAAAGGATTTGGAAGGAATCAGTCATGGCCTGATTGAGGAACTGTTCTGATGTTTGCCTGGAGGGACTAAGGAAAACCACAAAAAACCTCTGCCAGGGTAGGCAGTGTACCTGAGATTTGAACAGAGAACCTCCTAAATAAAAGTCAAGGGCAACTGTGCTAGACTGGGCTGCTGAGTATGACACTTTCTGTTGCTCAGAATACATAGCAGTGAATGAACTGGAAAGGATGTTTTGGGCTAGGGTTAGCTGAGTTTAAGCTATGTCAGTGTTGCTGAATGAGAATATCCCCCTTGCAGTTCAGCTGGTACACCCGAAGGGTGACTTTAGCTGGAATCTACAAGGTGACGGAACTCTACATGATACAAGACAAGTCAGCAGACTTTGACGAAACGTGGAATTTCCTTGGCCGAAGAATTGAGGATGTGTCTCATCTCCACAGTTACCTGCACCAATCGGGAGAGGCATCACAAGTCGCCAAAGAAGCTGTGGCTGCAGCATTCATTACAGTACGTCTGTATTCTGACAAGTTTTGTGTACGTTGTGATGTCTTTTTTATTTCTCAGGCTCACTTTCAAAAGGAAAAAGTTTTTTACACTTGTACCCTTTATTAAATGCTGGGATGACAAGATTGAGTTGGATGAGATGGTCAGAGTATGTGTAGTGAGGTGAATGTAAACTTGGCCCTGTGCTTTTAAATAAGCACAACACCCCGAAGACATATGGGGGGGGGGCAGAGATCTAGCCCCAGACATACTTAACATTGGCACTAGCTGGAAGTGAAAAGCCTCAGTCGCTTTACCTCCAGAGTAAGAGCCCCCAGTATCCACTGGACAGGAGGCTCAGTGGGTCCTAGGGCCAGTCTGTAGGCTGTGGGGAAGACAAAAATCTCTTACCCCTCTCAGGAATTGAACCCAAATTCCTCAGCTGTCAAGCCCATAGCCTAGTTACTATACTGAAATATGCCAGCTCATGTATCTCATATGATAGATAAGAAATTTATATAAAATATACATCATTCACATTAAAACACATTTGTTTGGAAACATAAGTCTATCCTTTTCTACACCACCCTCCCGTTGTTGTGTCCATGTTTCCTCTAATATACATTTATGATCCTTGTTATTGTCAATTTTTACAAATTTTGAATTTGTTACTTGCTTTAATATTGCTTGTGATGTTTTATTTAGCCCTACGAATATCAGCATGGTGTTATCGTTAATTTTATCTTCATTATATAAAGATTTATTATTAATATATGCATTTGCTATTTTTGTGTGTCTGAATGTTTTCTTTTTATATAGGGAGTTGTATGTGATGATGTATGTTGTTCATATGCAAGTTGTCCCTAATGATTTTATAAATGTGAAATGTCTGCCCTTCCTTCCTGTCCTTATGACATCCACAGTATCTGTTATTGTTGGCCGCGCCATAGCTCAAGCGGTTAGTCACTGGCATCCCACCGCAGCGGCCTGGGTTCAAACTCAGGTCTGGTCAAGTGGGATTTGTGATGGACAAAGTGGCACTGGGGTAGGTTTTCTCCAAGTACTTCGGTTTCCCCCGCCAATCTTCATTCCACCAAATTCTCCATCATCATAATCAACCAGGGCAGGTACAATAGGCCAGTCAGTGGCCGCCGTGCCGAGTGGACCCAACTGGACTCCATCCCCCACTAAGCGAATCTGTTATTGTTCCATATGTATGCTGTGTTTAGTGTATCGTAATGTAACCACTACATAGAACAGAATTTTCTGCATGGCAACATTAGAATGCTAGTATCCGAGTTACTGTCAAGAATTTTCTTCCAATTCTACGTTCAGTTTCAATGACATCAATATTGGAGATCAGATTTAAAACTTAATTTCTTTGTAGACTTTCACGTCTTTTTTATATATTACAAGACATTTCTCGGCAGTGCTTGAAAATCTGACAGTAACACTTACACTCTCTTGTTTCAGGCACGAAATATTCTGGGGCTGAATCTGGGAAACAGATAGCAATGAGGCCTTCCTGTAGCTGCAAGTAATGCCACAAATTCACTTCCACTGGATGCTTGAAACACATGTACAGTTATTTAGGTAGAACTAAATAAACATGAAATGTTCAGATATGTCACTCATTTTTATACCTCCAACATTATCATTAACATACGCGCAGCCAGGGCTGCACCATAGCTCAAGCAGTTAGTCGTTGGCTTCCCACCGCAGTGGCCCGGGCTTAAACCCGGGTCTGGTCAAGTGGGATTTGTGGTGCACAAAGTGACACTGGGGTATGTTTTCTCTGAGTACTTCGGTTTCCCCTGCCAATCTTCATTCCACCAAGTGCTCCGCAATCACCCTCACCTATCATCTGGGGCTGGTACAATAGGCCAGAAGTGGCCGCAGTACAAGGGACTTAGTGCCACCCCCCACCCCACTAGCAATTAATTAAAAATGTGCAGCCTGGATAGCTCAAGCGATATAGTGACAGGCTATGTGCTGGGTGGCCATGGTTCAATTCCTGACAGATGCAAGAGGTTTTACTCTTCTCCGTATTGTCCAGACCAGCTGAGAAGCCCACCCAGCCTCCTATCTGATTGGTGCTGGTGGCTCTTCCCTTGAAGGTAAAGTGGCCAGGGTGTACAGCTGACTACTCACCTCCCTCTTGTAACAAGTTAAAGAATGTAAAACTACCTCTACTCCCCTATGTCTTCATGGCATGTTGCATCACTAAGCAGGGACAACTCTTTCTCTCTCTCTCTCTCTCACACACACACACACACACACACAAAGGCTCCCATTTTGCAACAAACACACTGTCCCCTTGACAAACAACAATTGATTAACGCTGTTTAGGGAAATAATTGTCGTTTATTCTGAGAATCATATGAAACACATAAATACAATGCGTGGGAAAATGCAGAGTTTCTGAATGTTAAAGCAGGTGGTACATATAGTTACCACTGTGCTTTAAAAGGTTAACAATTTATTACTTAGTGAATTATTCTCACAATGCTCTCCAGCCGGCAGTCACTTCAAAACAGTCCCATCTGGTGCTGAAGTAAGAATAACTGCTCGTCCTTAGTTTTGGAGGACCAATACCACGATGTGCACTCCAGTTCCCAGATAGTTTCACAGTTCACACTCTGACTTATTATCACTTAAGTATTCTCTCTTCACCATTAACTTCAAGACAAAACCTCAGTGAAACAAATCTACCAGTTCTTGAGGTCTGAAAATGATTTCCTACGCACTCATTCAGACCCAAAAATTAGGCCTTAAATTTTAAGATCTTGAATTTAAAGACCAACAAATGTACAATTGGGCCTTTCAAGGAAACATTTCTTAAGTACATGAGAATTCTTCAAATTCATTTTTAAATTATACAGCTATTATCATGCTACACTACAATAATGATGAAAATGCCAGAACTCTGTGACACATCCAGAATGGCATGCAACATATACAGTAATTAAGTAACAAAAATCACAGGTCGGGATTGTCTCATACTGCACCAATCAAACATCATTATTGTACAATATGGGCGTAAGAATTGTGAGCTCAATTATAGGAAACCTTCATATCATTATGTGCCCACAAATACCATGAAGAAAAAGAAAACAAAACTTTTATGAAAAACACATATCATAACCAATCAACTTTCAACATTAAAAACCTCAAACAATCAAATAAAACTTCAAAATATACATAACTCACACAACATAACTAGAATATATTTCAAATTATGAGCTAACAGGAAATATAACTATATAACGAAATTGATCCTATTACAAGTTTCAGATATATTCAAAGAATATGGCTTTAAGGATTAATTTCCTATATCACGCATAATCACTCGACTATTCCAAGGTCATGGAAAGAAGTTGTGCGGACATGGGAATGACAGCACTTCGGGGTTCCCCCTCTCCCCCTCCAGCCACAAATGACTCATATCAATCAGCCCAAAGTGTTTGTTGCTAATGAACAAGATGTTTCATTCACTGTTCAATCTATCTCACCGGGGATTCATGATCTATTTCAATGCACTCTCAGCAGCTCAAATTATATAGTGTTGAATGAATGGCAACTGAAAACGATGTGGAAGGAAGTGGTCATGGTCTACTTCAGGGAACTATCCCAGTATTTTCCTAGAGGACTGGAGAAGATCACAAAAATCCTCAGTCAGGACAGCGGTTTCCAGCTTGAGATTTGAACTGGGCACTTCCTAAATATTTAGGTCGTTCAAAAATGATTGACACTCCCTCTCCATACCCCTGAAGAATGGTTCGCTATGCAAATACAGAAACTGCGGGACCGATGGCAAAGCTGCATAGACAATGGTGGGGAATACCACTAATACAATCTGTATGTATTTTGTTCCAATAAATGGTTACTGTGAAGAAACCATTCAATGTCAATCATTTTTGAATGCCCCTAGTACAAGTCAGAAGTGTTACTGTCTTAAGATTTGAGCTTCTCACAGCAGTGGTTATGAATAATTCTATGTTTTGAGATATTATGCCATATGGTCTGTCAAAAGTCAACCGACATTTTGGAGGAATATCTTGCCTCCATTTTCAGGGTCGAAGAACAGGCAAAGCAAGAAAATAGCATGAAAGCAGGTTCCTTGCTGGGCTTATCCTTTGATCCTGGAGACATAGGTAAGGTTTCCCTCCAAAATGTCAGTTGACTCTCAATGGACTACACAGCATTATCCCTGAAGAGAGATCTCTGACCCTTCAATTCAGTGTTCAGTTACTGGCTTTTTGTGTTATTGCATATGAAGAATCAGGCACCATCTTTAGATATGCAATAAGTGATGAAATATAGCAAGCAAATCCTTAAAACCGATGACTGTGTCTTCCACTTTTGTGGAGAACTCAACCTAGACATGGGCAAAAACACTACAAATTTTTTAAGAGAAAGTAAAATGCCAAACACAAAAAGCAAAGAATGCCTGAACATGACAATTTAACATAAATTCATACATTCGGTGGACTATAATAAAATATGTATAAAATATGCATCATTCTTTGAAATGAAAATCTCACTAATTCTGTCTTCAAAGACACCAGTAACTGTAACTAATAGTGACCTTCCTGAATGTACCCTTTCAGTCTGTTGGGCAAAGGAAGTTTCTGTATGTTGTCCACCCTGGTGTACTGGCGTATAACAAATCTGCAGAGATACTGGAGAGATCTTACTTGTGTGAATCGTGACACAGGTCTCGCTAACCGAACAGGGAATGCTGGGTAACCTGGAGCCCGTGGACGAGAATAACAAAATACAGCAGATTCTGAATAGGACATAGAATGATTGATCAGTTCCACGATGCTCGAGAAGCCTTCCCCTCCAGGAGTTGCGTAGAAGCTGAACAGACCACAGCTGTGTTCGATACGAGTATGAAACGTCTTCCCTGAACTTCGGAAACTCACACTTAGGAGGTAACGGTCTGCTGATGAATCACGTACAAGGAATGCTCCATCAGGTAGATCCAATAATTTTTCTTCTGCTTCTTCTCGTGAGATTGGTCCCCAGTACCAACCATATTTGGCCAATTTAAACAATTCACAAGTCAAACTCCGAGAAGTTGGACTAGGCATTGGTTCAGCATCCCCACCAATGGTGTGTCTGATAATGTCACATGGTTCATATTGCACAATCCCAGCCTCGTGCACATTCAGGACGAAGTTATGGGCCTCACTGTAATCTGAATTTTCTGTGTCACAGTCATCTGTCCTGCTCAGTGCTTCTAAGTCTTTTCCAGAGTCCATGTCTCTTCTCAGTGCTGGTAAAGCTACTATGCTGCTGTTAGTAGTGCCATTGGTTTGCATTTGGGGCGACACACTGTGGAACCTGCACACATTTTGAACAACATCAGGAACTTTCCGTGCTGCAAACAGTCCTTCCTTTCGTTCATGCAATGATGTCACACTTACTGGTGTACTCTTGCTGTTGTTACCTGAGCTTCTAACAAAACGAAGGGGTTGTGGTACTGGACATATAGCCCTTGACAAGCCTTTGGACTTCCTAGGATTTTTAGATGTAAACCCTTCATTCGCAGAGTCTTCACCCAAAGGAAATGAATAGTTACTGGACGATTCAACACTTTTAAAGGTATGTTTTGATTTGCATTTCATTGGTCTAGCACCTACATTTGTTTTTAACTGAAATATTTTTTTCAAACTTTTAAAAACGCCAAGTTTATGTTTATCAGCTAACGGCCTTCCTGTACACTTACACCTATCACTATTTCTGTCCGGAGACATTTCCTTTTTCGAACAAGTCATCCCAGTTTCAGCCGTTTCGCCATTTGCATCTTCTAATGTTTCACAGCAACACACATGAGCTCGAGGTCCATTCTGCCTACCACTTCTCCTCACTATTGAATCTTTAATATAATTCAGACTCATTTTACGCATTCTTTTAGATTCCTCGCCACATCGAGGGCTTACAGCCATTCTTACCTAGAATTAAACTTTCCTCAGAACACCTTATCTACCACAAATTTTACCTGTGCATTCTAACACACCATATTCCTTTGAAGTCGACATATATCGAAATTTTGAATCGAAAAATCAACACAACTCTCGAAAGATATATGATTAAAGTGTTACAGGTTTTCACAGAATAAGCTCGTAAAAAAAAATAGAAAATATGTCATCTGATTCAGAAGACGAAGATTTTGCAGAATATGGAACTCCTCTCGATCCTCTTGATGAAGGTACTAAAAATAACTTTTTTTATAAATGCATGACATTGATCATGTCGATTCGCGTGTTATAGGTTATGTATCTTTATTTTATGTATCAATGTATATGACTTACCATAGAAGCCAAACAGGTTTAGTTTCTATCCACATCGAGTCCCATCAGTGTTTGAAGCCTTCTATTCAATTGTCTTGTGTCCCAGGTACCGGTCTTACCCGTAGAACCATGCTTTATAAAATAATTCTGTGAATGTGAGGGAATAAAAAGCTATAAGTTGAATTTCTCCCTGAGTGAGTGAGGAGTACTATCAAGCTACTTGTCTTTTGTGTAAAGATGAACTTCCGAAGAAGAAACCCTTCACTCTGAAGGATCAAGTTGCTGCAGATAAATATGGCAGACGCAGGTTTCATGGAGCTTTCACTGGAGGATTTTCAGCTGGATTCTTTAATTCAGTTGGTTCGCTTGAAGGATGGACACCATCCACATTCAAGTCATCTAGGTCTGATAGAGCAAAGGGAATGCAGCAAAAGCCTGAAGATTACATGGATGAAGAGGTAATTGACATATTTACTGTGTACAAATAATGCACTGAATTCTTCTCTGGCATTCAGCCAAATAGAAATTGAGTTAATAACCAATGCTTCAGCGTTGCATTCATTTATCAAGTACAGAGACATATTTTACATACAGATATACATAAAGTTTAAACATTTTAAAATAAGCACAAAAAATATTTCAGTAGAGTAAAATCATCCACAGAGTAGGAGGAGTGAGTTAACAAGGGGTATTTTAATGTGGGCTAGAATACTATTATGTCACAATTGAACTTCTGATTGTCAGTGGAATTGAGTAACTAGATATCTGTATAGTATATGAGTACTTCTCCTTGATATTTAGTGAGGTTAGGATTTGGCATGTGAAGGTCATATTTATATCTGGTATTTGAATTGTGTACATCTGTACAGGGTAATTCATAAGTCCCTCTGGAAACCCCAACAATAATTTACAATCACTCTGTATATCAAATACATGATATTGATGTCATCAGTTGATATAAATTCTGTACTAAGTGATTAACATCAAGCCAGTATCTTCAGCTGTGCCAGTTTTGACACACTCAGGGAGTCAGGGTATGTGGTAATGTGGTTGATTGAGGCACCATGCTACAAACTGGAAAGTCATGGGTTCGAATGCCAATGATGTCATTGCATTTTTCAGTTTACGTAATCCTTCCATCAGCACTATGGCCCTGGGATCAACTCAGCCTCTAACAGAAATGAGTGCCAGGAATCTTCCTGGGCTCAAAGGATGGCCGGCTGGGGCGTAAGGCTGATAGCCTCACTGCCATCCGTGAGCTGATTGTCTAGAAAATGTGGGAGCCTAAACGTTTCACAACCGTATAGGCCTCCCCAGCCTGTTACGAGAATATCTTTACCTTTTTATACTGATCCAGCCTGAGTGGTTTGTGGCATGCAAAGGGTTAATATTAAGAAACCTCATATCGCAGGCATGGCTTTTTTCTCTGCACTAAAAACATGTCTCTGAAACCACTCAGTAACCCATGCCTGCAAGAGTGACCCAAAATCCACATTTATTTTAATAAAACTATATAACCAGGTTTTGTCATTATATGAAGAAGCTTATGTTTGATTTGCTTAATGCATTGGAAGTTGCGAACAACCAGTATAAGTCAGTTACTGAATGGTCTGTCAAGTCAGTAGCATTTCTACTTTGTACTTGGGAGGTCCTGGATTCCTCAGCTTGGAGGCTGGCTATCATGGCTTGAGTTGTTCATGGGTTTTTTCATTCCCTCGAGGGATATACTAAGGTGGTATCTAAAATTATTACAGCTACCCCCTTCCACATTCTCCTAAATTCGTTACCAATCCTGTCATTTAGAGTTGGGGTGACTGAGTCAGTATAGTGTCTAGGCCATGGGATGGAGACCAAAGAATCGTGGTTTGATTTCTGGCAGGAGCAAGAGATTTTTTCTCTTCTCCATACTATGCAGGTAGTATTGAAGTTTTACGTTTTGCCCTTTACCGTGCTGTCATTGAACACCATGGATCTTAACTGCTGACAGTGTCAGTAAATAAACCGTAAATAAATAAAATAAATATACTTGAGTCAACTGAACATTTTAACTAACCATTCACCCTATTTCATAGGATATGGATGAATTTGGAATAGCCCCAAAAGTTCTTCGTGCCACAAGTGACTTTAATGAAAGCAGCAAGAAAAGATCACGGATGCACCAACTTTCAGATGGACCCATTCCAGGAGAACCAGCCTTAAGGGAGCTGTTACAACCTGTCAAGTAAGCCCAATCCACCATGCTGTGTGTTTGTAGGAGATGTATTGGCATAGTTCATTATTCCTAATTTTGTGCTTTGTTTTGTGACCAGACTAACTCACAGGTAGATTCTAAAGGGATATGACAGTGGTGTATAACACTCAGAATTACTGGGTTTTTGGACTTTGTCCATTGTCCAGTGTTTTAAAAATGGGTCCTGCAGAGTAGGTGTCTCCCCCCTCAACCTGAGAACAGAAACAGACCCAGTTTCTGAAGCGGTGTGTTCTCTGGTTTGTAGAATACTGGATGATGGGACAAAGTCCAAAACCCCAATAATTCTGAGACTAACTCATATTTATCTATCTTACTGATAAGCAGTGTTCTCCCAGAAATAGGTAAAACAAGAGAGATTATAGTTTCATATATTTTCATCTGGGGAACTAAGTGTAATGGTCTGATGGGTCTGGTGGGTACAATGGGCTGTTTCACTGGAGGTAAGGCAGAGAGCAGCTGTGGCATGAAGTTGACCATTCATCTCCATTTGCTGCCAACGCTAAGAATGTGTGAAACTGTCCCTCCACTCCACCATACATCTTCATGTATACTTAATTAGGTAAAGGGGTACATTAAGTTTACTTTTACTGCATTATAAATAGTTTAATTAGTGTAAATGTTTACAGAGAAACTGTTGGAATGAAACTTTTGAGAAAAATGGGTTGGAAACCCGAACAAGGAACTGGACCAAGATTGACAAAACTAGAAAAGAGAAGAATGAAAGAGGAATACAAGAGAACAGCAGTTAAAGTGTATGGTTGTGCTTTGCCACGAGATGCAAACAAAGAAGAAGAATCTGGCAAAGACAGCCCATGTTCCACAGATGATGAGGATGATGCACAACTTTCCTTTGCACCAGATGATCTTGGTCCTATCTTATGCAAACCCAAAGACAATTCTTTTGGCCTGGGATACAAGGGTTTGGATAGGCGGCCGATCCTGTCAAGCCACATCGATCTGTTTACACCAACACCGCTAAGAATGGAGGAGAAGAACAAGAAAGTGTTAATTACAGGCCAGGTAATCATTGTATCAGATACAACAAACTTTATTATCATTTTAGGGTTTTAAGACCATATCATTTTAGGACCAAATTTTTGGTCACTGGCAAGATAATGTGAAGCAGAAATGCCATATATGAAATAAATGTTGGCATACTCTACGTTAGTAAATCGTGCCATCTTGATTCATAGTTATTGCTACTTTGACAACTGTTTACATTTTCTGTTCCAGGTTATCTCAACAAGGTCCTGAGTTTGGTCACAGGATTTTGTATCACTCTATATCTTATCTACAACAAATGAAAGAGAACTTTAACAACTGCTTTCTTGTAAGATTTGAGGCTTTCACGGCAGTNGTGTTAACCGACGTTTCGGAGGAATGTATCGCCTCCATCTTCAGGGTAGAAGAAAAAATATAAGAATTCTGCAAGCGAAGAGACCGTGAGAACCGGTAAAAGCAGACCAGTCTGCTTTCCTTCTACCCTGAAGATGGAGGCGATACATTCCTCCGAAACGTCGGTTAACACCACATATACACGGTGCCAAATCCCAGAAGACTGCTTTCTTCAACTGCTTTCTTGGTTAACTAACCCACTGATTCGTAACATTCTGCATCTTGTGTCCCCCATGGGAGCTAGCCTCAATCACTGGTCCAGTGATTGAGGCTAGCTCTTTCTAAGGGACCCAACAGAATATGTGTTTTCCCTCACCTGAGGACAGAGACAGATCCAGTTTCTGAAACGTCGTGTTTTTCTTAGTTATCTTAAAACCAGGACGATGGATAAAGTCCGAAAACCCAATATCTCTGCGTGTTATACACCATCGTCAGAATCCTATAGCAATTATTTTAATATGATATTGATCATTACTGGATCTAATGGTCCACCCAGTTGGCAGTTAAGTTCTACGAGCAGAACACGTCCAACCAGTTGAGAAACACTGAACTAACCAAGTCCATGAAGCAGAGGCCTTCTTTAAGATTTGGTGGACATTCAGCTATACTGAGGCCATAAAATAAGTCCCGTGGATTAATCCTTTCCACATTACCCTTGAGCTATTGTGCTTCTTCCTCTGGTATACTTCCATGTAGTCCCCTCCAGCTTACCCACCATTCTGCTCACACAAATGCTGGCAGTGATAACACTGGCTACTTTGGGCCCAATACCACGGGAGAGGGCTGGAGGCAAATACAACACTGGGGTTTTTCATGGTTTTTCAACAGTCCCTCCAGGCCAATAGGATAGTACCTTGACTAGGCCATGACTGCTTCCTTTCAAATCCTCTCCACTTCATCATTCATCAGACATCCTGCCATTCAGTGTTAATACAGTGTAGATACTNCCCCCCCCCCATCTTTCTGTTGTTCAAACATATTACAGTAACATGAACTAGTCTGTAAAATGTCCATAAAATGGCAAGGTATCCTGTAAGTCAGGAGGTTAATGCATAAAACTGATCACAGCTTGAAGAGTACTCTCTTCTGGGGTGTGATGCCATATAGTCTGGTAGAAATTCACTGACTGCTCTTGCTGGTTGCTTGTTTGACTTATCTCTGACCTGAAGAATGTGGAGGCAGTAGATTCCTCTAAAGCATCTGCAAACTCCTACTGGGCTACATGGCATCACATATCAGGAAACAGTCACTGCTCTGAAAGCCTCGAGCCTAACATAATCACGGATCATTTTTCCCTCTCCCCAGGCTTTTGGTGTTGGAGCTTTTGAAGAAGACGATGAAGACATATATGGACGAGAAGACATGTCTCAATATGATTTTAGTCTTGACACTGAAACTACAACTTCAAAGCAAAAGCACCAGATCACTGCAACTGCCTTCGCCAATTATGCCGGAAATATTTTAATAGGCTTTGTTCTTGGCACAAATGCAATGACACAGAAGAAACACTTCCCTCCTCCAGTACTTCCTCAGGGATTTCAACCAATGCATGTCTTGAGGAAGTCAAGATTTGAGCCTGCACCTTCAGAGAAAGCCTCTCTGAGCAAAGAAAAACAGTTGCTTAAATCAAGAACGAGGGGTCTTGAGCGTCATAATCTTACAGCCACCGATAGGGCACTGATCTTAGATGAATCTACACCACAGGTGACTGTTCAGAAAGACACTATGACGAGCGCAACACTTGAAGAAAATAAAAGATTACCTACGGAGGAATTGAAGATAAAAGAAAAGTTGGAAATATCCGTTAAAGAAGGATGTAGTCAGTTCCGACCATTTGTTGCTTATCCAGAAAAACAGAAGCGCTATGAACAATACCTTACTCTAAGCAAAGTAGGACAGAAAGGTACAGTAGACTTACATATGAAGTTAAATAAAAAAATTAGAAAATTTTGACAAAAATCACATAAATGCTATCCTATTTTTCTGTGCAATTGCCATACTTTTCAATGCATCTGGTCCAGTGGTTCACAGGTTTCCTCATTCCAGGGCCTAAATCCATTCTTGGACTCTCTCTTTTGATGACTAATGTTCATTTCTGACCCCGTTCCACTGATGATGATTCTTTAGTTGTCCCAGAGATGCTGATTGGTGCGTTCCTTACTGTCAGCACAAGTTACTGTTGAGGGCTGCTCAGAATGTTTTTCAGCACTTACCCACTCTGGTTTGAAACTTTCATCTGGCTAATGTAGTAATCATGATACTGAATTGTTTGACCAGAAAAATAAGATCACAAATTCTTCTAATTTGGTGCATTCTCTCAGTGAAGCAGCCATGTTAAATATGTTGCAGTGTTATCTGACTAACTTCATGGAGCTGAATCCTTGAGAAGCTAGCTGTTGTTCAGCCGCTTAAGAAATTCCCGAAGGTTCATTGCCATGTTCACAAGATCCTGCCACTCCCTACTCTGAGCCAGATAAATCCAATTGACACCTCACATCCAACTCCTCTGAGATGCTATTTAACATTATTCTTGCATCTACACCTACAGTAGTTCATCCAGCCTCCTCTTCAGTGGCTACCATGATCTGTTTCCTCAGAGAAAGGCAACCAGGGCCATCCACTGGTGCGGTTAAAAATATGTGGAGCTATACCACAATTCCTGGTCTGTCTTCATGGCATGGTGCTTAATCAAGCACACGAACAACTTTACTTTTACAATACAAAAGCAGAAACTCTGCATACTGATAGCAAAATTTGCACTTTGTTACAGATCGACTGTCATACATCCAACCTCTGACAATGACTGAATGGGAAAAGGAACGCGAGCGGGTTGAATTTGAGCAGGCAGCACGTCTGTATCAGCCCCTGTCAGGTGTCATGAGTGATCGATTTGTGTTAGCATCTCAGCCAGATGACTTGAGCACTCCACTGCCATCTGTTAGCAAAGCTGTTGAAAGTGACAGTGAACAGAGGGCTGCAGCCAAGCTGAAGATGTTTGGCCGTCTCACAAGACAGGAGTCTGACTGGCGGCCATGCAGTTTGCTCTGCAAGAGGTTCAATATCCCGGAACTCTATCCCGGGTAAATTGCTGCTTAGTGTACTACATCAGTTAGTGATCATGAACATGCTTGTACTTCTCGCATGTTTGAATCATAAAGTTCTCATACACTTCCTAGCTTATTTAATTCAACCAGTAGTGATGGAGACATCTGTTTTCATCGCTATATTATTTATATATTCTTTATTTATTTACAAAAGCTTTCACTTATTAAGGGCTGTATCATCAAACATGATTAGTGAATAACGTATCAGAAAGGTTGTGGAGTAAAACAGTTATGGCCTAATTTGAGGTGCTATACTGACATTTGCCTGAGACTGAGGAAAACTACAAAAGACCTTAGCTAGAATATGTGGTCTCCAGACTGGGATATGAACTTGCAGCCTCCCAAGAAACATTGACTGCTGAACCAAAATGTTCAATTTTCACTGGTATCACAATTTCAAAAAATTTACTTGGTCTCATGGTGTAATTTTATTCATAATGTGATATGAAAATATTATCTTGGGGTGAAGTCTGTGGTTTTTAAAATGGTGTTTTTAATAAAAATACCTTGTATGCAGTGTGTTAATTTTGTTAAATACAGTAAACAGCACAGGTCCTAACTGCAAACTGTTTTGAATCACTGTTACAGCAGCGACGAATCATCCAAGGCTACACAGAAGACTTCATCAAATTTCTCTGTCTTCAGTTTTCTGGATGCTGCATCTTATAACACAGCACTGAAAATTCCTGAGAGCTCTGACGAACCTATTAACGACATTCCATCTGCGGCAGAGTTTCCAGAAGTTACTGCAAAGCAAGAACTAGAAGTAGAAAAAGATGATACAGAAGCCAACACACATAACATTGTCTCTCAGGAACAGAAGTTTGATGACTCATTGCTTGAATTTCCAGATCCTCCAGCTAAAATTGATTTGTATAGAGCCATCTTTCTAAGCAGCAGCGAAGACTCGGATGATGAGAGTGAGGAAAAGGCTTCTGGAAATTTGACCAAAGCAAATAATTCAAAACAAAATGTACCCCAAGAAGGAGGAGAAACAGAAGAGAAAACTTTATCATTAGAGAAACTTCTTACACCTTCTGAAAAAAACACCGAAAGAAATATGTCACCACCTAGAGGAGTATTTGCTAATCTGGATTTGGATGCCATTAATGCTCGAAAGGAAAAATCTAATAAAGTGCCTGAAAAGAAGGAAGAGTCAGATGTGTGTAAGAATAAACAAACAACAATTGACGACCATGTGGAACGTGAACAAAATGACGGGTTAGAACAACTTGCACAGGACATGTATGGACCTCAATTACCAAGTATTTCTGTGTCAGCTACTGCAAACAGTACATCCCTACCTTCAGTGAAGAAAGTACTTCCCAGTGTAGTAACTTCAGTTCACAATGAATGGGTAGAGATTACAAAGAAAGATTCTCACAAAAACAGACACGGTAAGAAACACAAGAAATCATCAAAGCACAAAAAGCATAAACACAAGAAAAAAAGGCATTAATTTTGCACTCTAAGAGAAAATACAGCACAACCACAGCTCCAGAAGTTAGTCACTGCCTTCCCACTGCAGTGGTCCACATTCAGTCTCAGGTCAGGTTGTGTGCGATTTTTGGTGGACAAAAGTGGCTCTGGGGCAAATTTCCTCAGAGTACTTTAGTTTCCCCTATCAGTCTTCATTCCACAGAGCACTCCACATTCATTAATCATCCTATAGACTTTTGATACTGACACCATCATTAAATAAGCAACTTAAATAATCTCTTATTTAATGTTCAATTTCAGTGATCCAAACTAATAATCTCATTGTTATTAACTGCATTAGAAATTTTCCTCTGCCTAATGTTCAATAAATCTAAAATGGGGGTTTTGCTGTAAAGGCATTTGTTAACAGACTGAAATATTGTCTCATTGTATCACATAAGAGTATAGTTCAATACATAGTAAGAAAATACATATTGTTACATGTACACCCGTTGCTAGGCTATGTATTGGTAAACGAGTTCCCGCGAAGACAGATTCTTGGTAAACAGTTGGTTGCTAGGGTACATAACAATAGCTGAGGCTGTGTTTTCTATGTCATCCACGCTGAGCAGCGGTGGAACAAGGGGTTATGCAACCCATTTCTAAGCAACTGCTCGGTAAACACATTTATGCACAGGCAGCAACATCACACAACAGTGGATAGAGACCAAGCGGCGTGTTTTTCTGACGCGGTGGTTGTAGTTGGTTGAGGCACTGTACTACAAGCTGGAAGGTCGTGGGTTCAAGTCCCGATGAGTTCATTGTTTTTTTTTTCAAGTGACCTAATCCTTCCAGCCGCACTATGGCCCTGGGGTCAATTCAGCCTCAAACAGAAATGAGTACCAGGAATTAATTAAATAATTTTCCTGGGGAGTAAAGCACAGCCAGCGTGTAAGGCTGACAACCTTACCGCCATCTTTGAGCAGATTGTCTAGATAATGTGGGACCCTCAACATGTCTCACAATCCTATGGGTCCTCACAGCCTGTAACAGGGACAGCTTCCCCCCCCCCCCCCTCCCTTTTTTTTNACCACACTGAAGGTTTGTAGGGTACAGTTCAGGGGCAGTTACGAGTCAGTTGTAAGCTGGAGGAGTGAGTCCAGAAGAATTTTTAGTTCCAAGGTTCTGGAGTTGTTGAAGATGAAATAGCAAGAAGACTTCATAGCGATTTGAAATGCTAGTTTCTGTGTTGAGATCCGTTGCTAGGAGACGACTAGTGGAAACTGAGAATTCTAGTGCGTGTGCAACGGTGAACTGGAAAGTGTGTAAATCATCACTAGCACTGTATTAATGGTAATTAAGAGAAAGAGAGTAACTGAACTAGAACCCGTTATTTTTGTGACACATACCCGTGACAGTATATGTATACACATAACCTGTATTACAATGGCTCATAAGTTGTGAATTTTCAAGGTAAAGCTGGTTACTATTTTCAAAGATTTATGATTGTTTTCATCATTTCCTGAAATTAACGTTTCTTTTAACCTGAATACAGTACCCATTGACTTTTACATCTGTTCACCATATAAGAATTTGTTACTGAAATGAACTTTTGTTATGATAATTACAGTTTTTATATATTGCACTGAATATGTATGGTTTGAACTTCAGAATCAAGGAGCCATTAAAGTAGGCTCCAGCCTAGACTCTTAATATTTATTGCATCTATTAACATCTCACTATTTTACATGCACATTTGGAGCCATGATAGCTCAGCTGATATAGTGAAGAGGCTATGGTCTGGGCAAACAAGGTATTGTGGTATGGTTTCTGACAGGGGAAGAGATTGTCCTTCTCCTTAATGTCTAGTAGACTGACCTTGGGGCCCGTACATCCTCTTGTACAATGGATACCAATGTTTTTTTTTTCCCCCAGGCAGAAGGTGGAAGAAAGACAAAGCTGACCACAAAATTATGTCTAGTGCTTAGGTTAAAAGTGGTGGAGCTATACCTCCATTTGCCATCCATCTCCAGTGTATGGTGCTTAATTAAGAAAGAGCGATAATTTTTTATTTTCTGCTTCATACAAAATTTGTCAGCCTTTTTGTTCTCATTTCATAAGGGAAAATGATCTGGTTTTATTCAGTCTGTGTCCCTATTAACCTTTTATCAGATTTTGAAGACATACGTTTCTGGTATATTTGTACATCACACAACTTCCAGCTTTTGGGGTTTAGCAATGTCGTATGTTGAAGTTGTTACAGTGATTGTTCACTCTGAAGATTGAGACTGCTATGTATGCTGAAATATTGGGACAACTTCAAGATACTACATGGCTAAACTCCAAAAGCCAGCATTACACATCTTTCAACCAACTCACTGATTTTCATGAAGATTGCAATCTCACGTTACTGGATTGGATATGCTACGATGATTCAGTTAAGTGGAGTAAATAATAGGGGTTTGATTTGTTATAAGGGTAAGGATTTCTCTCCCTGCCATGTATCCCTCTTAGTGACTACCCGTGGATAAAGTGGCTGGAGCATGAAGCTGGCAACTCACCTTCCAACAAGTGTTGCAACGAATGTCTTACATTTGTGTCTCCTAATCTGCCTTTAAGGATGATGGTTAGGCAAAGGTAGACAGACCAGAATATATGCCATTTTTTTTTCAAGTTAATTCTTTTGTCTAATGCAAGAAATCTCTTCATCATTTTCTTTACAACACTGTTTGATAAACCATTATAGCTGGAAAGCAAAATTTTGTATGGCGATTGTACATCCACATACACCTTTTGTGTGAATATTCTTTACGTCAAAAGTTATTTACACAAGGCCTGAAACATGGACCTAAAACTTTCACACATTCAAAAATGTATACATGCATGTTCCCTAGCTACATCTACCAACATGACGAAGATGGCGACTATGCCAGTTTGACTACTGCCTTTAAATTTTGTATGAAATATTTTTCGGGTGTTATAAATTACAGAATTGTAACGGTGCGATAGTACCAATTACATTTGCAAAGTTCACGTAATTCTAATCTTTACTATTAAGTTGTCTATAGAAACTGATTCTTAAATAGATTAATTAATAATTTTAGCTTCTGCAACACTCATCATACATGCTAAATTGTCTGAGTGAAACTTAGTACAGCTCTCAGAATTTGAACAATTTTCGTTTAGCGTCTGAAATGGTGGCAGGGAAATTTTATGTTGGAGGCACAATCTTGGAAGCTCAAAAAATCAAGTTGGAAAAGCATGATGCACATCGTGTTGTTGCCTTGTACACAAAGAATCGTGCATGAATAAGTAACTATACGATATTTATCTCCAGACGTGTTGAAAACATTCGTTAGTGGTGATCACACACTTATCTTTGGATGAGAAAGAACCACTAAGCTAGGTAAGTGATGACATTTTCCCACGTCTCGCGTAGCTTAGGTAGTGGGATTTTTTCGATTGCATCTTAATTTATTGGTTTTACTATACGTTGGCGAATTTTGTTACATATTAATGGGACGGGGTTCATTTCGTAAATCTTCGGCAAATAACGGGGGAAATAACGCAGTTTTTTATTAAGCTACATTGTATATCAATGTAATCCGACAATTTTTATATCCTCTGATTATGTACCTAAATGGATCGATGAATTATAATAAAAAATACATAATAAAATCAAATTCTTAGAATCTGCATCATATTGATATTCAATCTTGATTTGTGTACTAGTTTCTGTTAACCTCCCTGTTATGAACTTGCAACAATTTCTGAATGCACGATATACTAGAAATAAAATGTGGTAAGGAACCTGTCAGCAGAACTTAATTTTTAGGTTATGTTAATTACAACCGACAATTGCGTATGAAATTTGGAGAACAGGTTATAATAACAATAGCATGCACAGAGGGTTTAAAATTGAAATTTTGTGGGCAGAATATATAACAGTCCAGTTCATATGTCACAGGAAACATATTATGTCTCCACTACGAAGACCAACTGGTTAATGCTGTTTAGGGAAACAGCCGCTGTTTCATTTGTCACATTCTGGTCCGTCACACTAACAATTACAACAGCACAGCAGCCACGAGCAAACCCTGGACGATATAAAGAACCTCCACATCAAGATAGCCAGTGGCACAATATCTGCCCCATATAAGAGGGAGGATGGGAGGACGAACATGAGCCTGCATGGTTTACGAATTTTAATTATTGACAATACAAAAAAAAATTTTTAATTGGCATCAAGAAATTTTATATAATTTTTTAAAAACTTTACATTCCCAGGAAACTGCTGTGTTTGTGAAATGTTCTATTTTGTGTACTATGCATTGTAGCATGTAAGTGTACGTACTTTACGTCTAAACAACTTATGTGATGGTGGTTTCCTATTTGTAGTGATGTTTGCCCTCTGAAGATGGTCCACAGAGACCGAAACATGTAAGGGTGTTAAGTTTTCATGTAGTAAAAAACTTACAGGTCACATTGGTCGCTGTTTATTGTGAGAATCATATGGAATACACAAATACATTGTGTGGGCAGACTGGAGAGTTTTAGTATGGTATAGCTGGTGGTACATATAGAAATACTGTACATTTTGTCAATAAATTAAGCTATACAGTATTGCAGAGACAAACGAAAATTTTATTTTAATAGTTGAACCTTCATTAATTACTTACATTTAGTAAAGGAACTGTGGGTTTTAAGTTTAGTTCTTTATTTTTGTGTTTTGTGTGAGATGTGGCAGTACTGTTATGCACTGTCAGAAGAAAGCTGCACATAGAGATAACTCATTACAGGTGAGGGATTCATTCCTAGATATTGCTACTTGTGTCAAAAACACATAAAATAGAAAACACTAAGTAAACACTGTGCATGGAGAAGGAGTAGGAAATGGCTTGACTGAATCAAAATGGTGGGGCAAGTCAGGGAGATTACATGCAAGTTGGCAGCTTCTGCCATGGCCCCAGATAGGAACACTGACATAACTACAGACAGTGAAAGTATGAGAGTCACCCATAGCTGTACTTCCAGATGCCAGCAGCATGCAGTGAAATTGTTGGAGACATCGAGGATCTCATTTCATCTCAAGATATAACTCCAAAAGAGCGTTACAGCAATAAGAATTCAGTCACAGTTCGGGCAAGAAGGAAACAAAATGGAGAAGCCAAACGAGCAGAAGCAGAAGAATATTCTGCCCCTGCCAGCATCATCCCGGGAACACAGACTATATATATCAAAACCTGGGGCTGTGCCCACAACAGCTCAGACAGTGAATACATGGCAGGACTCCTGGCATCTTACGGATATCGTCTGACAGGTGAGTTGTGTGAGAACTGATACTTTTGCAGCTATCCATGTTCACTCATACCTCATTGAGGCTGTAAAAATTGAGTGAAACTTCCTCCCTTCTTCAAGGTATCCATTGCCATTTTCCAATAACGAGGAAGAAGACTTCTGTCTGAATATATCATAACACAAAAATAATGATATAAATTTGGTTGGGCAACAGATCTTAGTCATGCTAGCTAGAGCATGTGGCATCAGATGGCAGGATGGACAGCTAAGTTATAAACTGGAAGGATTTGTAAGCATGCAGTCATGACCTAATTGAGGTACTATCCCAGCATTTGCCTGGAGGGACTGAGGAAGAGCACAGAAAACCTAAAGTCAGGATAGTCCAGCGTCCTGGCTGGGATATGAACCAGGCAGTTACTGAACACAGGTATCGAGCATTACCGTTGCACCAGCTCGTTCGATACTGTTCTACCACCATTCATTCAATAACATCTTTACAGTTTTCCAATTTGTACTAATTGTCATATGTTGACCTGTTGTGTTGCTGCAGACAACAAACTGGACGCAGATCTCTGGCTGCTCAATAGCTGCACTGTTAAGAATCCCGCAGAGGACCATTTCAGGTAAACGCTGCATCTGCCATCTCTGTGCACATTCTTCTGGGGTAATCCAAACTGTAAAATACAGTCAGGAGTGGGGTGTGATGTCTTGGAGTCTGATAGCATGTGCTAATATTTTGGTTCATCTGCTCCGAAGATGGAGGTGCAACAGTCTCCACCTAAACAGTGCTACCTATATATCAAAATGTAAGTCATCAGATCCTAGAAAATTGTAATCTTATAAATTACCCTTTTGATGTGTTGGTTACATTAATTTCTTTGGGAGGGGGGTATTTTATGACACTTTCGGTACCAATAATTCAGCAGGGGTGACCACGATTCCACATAGCCTGTGTTTTTTATTTAATTAATTTGTAGAAAAGGTCTTGAATCATTTCTTTTTTTCCACCAACCCCACTAATGGTTAAAGAAACCCACACGCAGCTCAAGAGTCACAGGTTGGCTGCATCTGCTGTACAGCATTAGTTGATAGGATCATTCATGAATAGTGAACTGGAAAGTATTTGGAAGGCTGTGGTCATTGCCTGATCCTGGCATTTGCATGGAAGGTAAAGTTGTCCCTGTGCTCAACTAATTAAGCACTATGCCATGAAGGCGTATGGGGGAGTGGATGTATAGATCCACATTTTCTTGACCTTGGCACTAGTTGGAGTTGAGGGGTTAGCTTCACGCCCCTGCCACTTTACCCCTGGGAAAGGAGACCCAAGTACCCATTGGATAGGAGGTTGAGTGGGGCTCAGAGCCAGTCTGGACTATGTGAAGAAGAGAAAATTCTTCGCCCTTCCAGGACTCAAACTCCGACCCCTCAGTCGTCCAGCCCATAGTCAGTTGCTATACCAACTGCGCTATTGCGGCTCATATTTGCATGGCAGGACTGGCATAAATTTAAAAAACCACCTCAGTCAGGGCAGTTGGTGTCCCAGCTGAGGTTTGAATTAAACCCCTTCTGAACACATGTCAAGAGTGCTACCAGTGTGCCGTCCTGCTGGGCCCTTTGCATATTATCTCCAGAACTACAGAAAATATTTCAGTGAAACTTTGTGTTGGAAGTTCACACTGACTGTTAACCAAGCTAATTTAATGCTGATTTCTGTTGGTCTCTTTATGGGAACAAGACATTTAAACTGAACTGCTGTTGGTCCTGTGTTTAGAGGGAGAAACCCCATGCAATATTGAACGGAAATATGAAAGAATTGCAGAGCTGTAATGCTGTTCTGAGGGTTTTCTGATATTTTCCTCAGTCCCTTCAGGTAAATCCAGGATCTTACCCTGATTAGGCCATGATCACTTCCTTTAAAAATCCTTCCAAGTAAGCAGTCATCATCCCAACTTCTAATGCTGTATAGTCTCAATACTGACAGTGTCATTATAAAATCAGCTAAAAATATCACCAAAGGTTTGTGAAGAATAAGGAATGTCCGTCTCTTCATTAGGAATGAGGTGGAAGCAGGGCGGAAAAGGGGGAAGGCCATAGTTGTCGCCGGCTGCGTTCCTCAGGGTGCACCAAGAACTGACTTTTTGCAGAAATTGAGCGTAGTTGGAGTGCAGCAGATTGATCGAGTTGTTGAGGTGGTTGAAGAGACCCTTAAAGGTATTACTATCTGAATCATCCTTGAGGGTACATCATACCATAAATAAGCACCTTCGTAGAAGAAAAGTCTTGTGCCTTGAAAGACATCTCCAGTACGGTGATATTGGTTCCCATTGTCAGTTGAAAAAGTATCTAATGACTTTCTGATGATGATGTAACAATTTGCTTCAGTGTCTGGTAATGCAGCACCCTCAAAGATGTTTCGGACATGTTTATATAGCACTGCACATCTTTTTAATAAGTGTTGAGTGTTGTTACCAGGGGTATGATCACCTTTGCACCTCTCTTTAACCAGAAAGAAGCACTGTCACTGAATTCAAAGATTATTGTCATTTCATTTCCATTCAGAGCACTGAAGATATTGTAGCATGTAGAGTGTACAGCCACTAGATAGACGAATAAACAATAGTGTTATGCAACCTGTTTTGGGGGAACAGACAGGCAAACATGTTCCCGCGGCAACGAATATGCACACAACAGTAGAGTTACTTTTGGAAACAGTGTTTTCTACTTGGTCCCTGCCAAGGAAGACAACTGGAGCAACCTAGTCAGTTGATAGTTGAGCTCTGCAAGGGAGGCTGATAAGAGATAGTGCTCTAGTTCAGTTGACAGTTCAGTCATGGGATATTCACCGGACAGTACTTTCACGAACACAGAAGCTGAAGAATTTCCATTGTTAAGATCCGTTTCCAGGAAATGACTAGTGAAGAAACTGCAGGCTGGAGAAGACTTAGCATGGAGTGATTTGTAAAGTATCGAAATCAGACATAGTGTTATAGTTATTTGTAGTTATGACTTGTAAGTGGTCACTAAAGCCATTCACTAATCCATATCTGATTTATAGTCACACATAAATTGTGTCAATATAAAACAGTAATTTTTCAGGTCATACTGTGAGACTATTTGGGCAGAAAAAGGAAGGCGGTAGAAAGACTGGAGGGGCATCGTTACTGCTGCCCAAAGTTCGTAAGAATCCTCTCATTGAAATTATTCCAGTCAACACTGGTTGCCTGAACCAGTGTACGTACTGCAAAACAAAGCATGCTAGAGGTGACCTTGGGAGCTATCCTCCAGGTATGGAAATGTGTTTTTTTTTTTTATTCTGTAAGGAATTGTAGCATTCCTCCTACTGCCACTTTTTAGTTCATTTTCAGTTTATTTTAAGGTAATTTAGAAGATATCTGTACCGTTCTGAAAGCCCAGTATAGTGAGATCCTGTGTTCATCATCAGTAAAACAGTTCTTTTTGAGCCTTAGCCTTCCTTAGAATGTTCTGCTAGACTCGTCTTCAGACCATCTGGTTTTCACTTCTTTGGATTTCGCAACGATAATTTTTTTTTGACAGAGCAAGGTCGACAGGAATTCTGACCTCCTTCAACATGGCAAAATTCTGTGTTCAGTGAATATTTTTTCTGATCCATGCTGAAGTCAGATGTAAACAATATATAATTTTGCCATCTTTAGTGAACTTCAGTTTAGTAAGTAACCTACATTTACTATAAGAAATATTCAACTTTCCACAACATATACGTTGAATTAGCATGATTATGGTTGAAGCAACCCACATTTGCCTTTTTCTTTCTGCTGGAAATCATTAATGTACATCCACACAGAAAGACAGAGAAATTATGTGCTGAAAATTAAATAAATTACATCCATTTTGAAATATAAATGGAGAAAATTATACGTACGATAGTGTTAGGCACTCTTCACCTGATATAACAGGGCGATTGAATGAAAGACGATGAGAGTGATCAGTCATGTAGCATGCCTGGGGAAAATTATAAATATATACAAAATTTTAGTGAGAAAACCTGGAGGATGGATACTGATTTGGGACCTAGGTAGAGGTGAGAAATGATCAAATAGAAATATTGTGTGATCGCATAAATTGGACGTAACTGACCCAGCATGGGGTCCGAAGTCCAGTGGTGGGCTTCTGTATACATGATAATGTACATTTTTATTCTATAATTATAGAGAATTTCTTGGCCAACTGAGTGACTTGCATCATGCAGTTAGTTGTACCAGTGAAATGCCTGTTGAAATTTCAGTGGGAAATCTTAACAGGTCCTGTCTCAGGCCATGTTTTGAATTTGTTCACCCTTACTCATTATAGCCCTTGAGTTGACACTTGGAAGTTATGACTGCACTGAATCTGCACATTGAACTTGGAAAGGCAACTTTATACAACAAGAACAATAATTATTTATAGGTTCCCTTTTTCCGCATAGATCAACACTGAAATGCCAGTTGATTCAGTGCTCTTTATTGTTGTCATCTGCTTGTTCTTTCATAACTGAGATCGGTTTTGTGTTTTGTTTCCATGGAAACAACATATCGAAAAACAGTGCCCAGTAGTGCTTTGGTTCTGTAAATAGTAATAGTTATCTGTTTGCAGATGAAATTGTTTCTCGAGCAAAACAGTCATTTGAGGAAGGAGTGTGTGAGCTGTGGCTGACGTCTGAAGACACCGGGACATATGGCCGAGACATTGGTACCAGTCTACCAGAGCTTCTGTGGAAGCTGGTGGACGTCATCCCTGATGGCTGCATGATGCGAGTTGGCATGACTAACCCACCATATATTCTGGAGCACTTAGAGGTATAGGAGATGTAAGGGATTGACATCATCATCTTCATGAGAGGTGCACCCCATTTGTATAAACAGACACCCCAGCAGAGTAACTAGTGTATCTGCTGTGGATAAATATCAGTATCAAGATTTGATTCATTGCATGAAGTGCATAAAATGAATGCATAATGGAGAGGCCATGTTCATTCCACATGTTTCATCTTTGGAACCGAGAGAACAGAACCACAGGGGTTTCAGGCCAATCTAGGGTGAGATTCGTGGTGGATGAAGTGGCACTGGAGCAGGTTTCCTCTGTGATTCTCTGGTTTCCCCCCCTGCTAATTATTGTTCCAGCATTGTTCCATACTCATCTGTTGCTCCTCCCTCAGGTGTGATAATGCTGACCACACAGCACATTATCATGTGCTGAGTCGTTAAGTTTGGGGGCTTCATCTCTTACCCACTCATTCAATCTTCTTCATGCTTAATGACATATATTTATGGTATAAGACATTATGAAAATTAATGTCTTCTGTGAGGTGACACCGCCTACTGTGATAGATTGTTACCATTTGTTTTGGAGGAACCTGTTTCCGTCTTTATGGTAGAGGAGTCAGTCCTCCCTCAGGCTGTGTTATAGCTCAGGTGGTTAGTCACCGGCGCCCCACCGCGGCAGCCTGGATTTGAGCCCATGTCAGGTCATGTGGGATTTGTGGTGGGCAAAGTGGCACTGGGGCAAGTTTTCTCAAAATACTTTGGTATCCCCTGCCAATTCTCATTCCACCGACTACTCCACACTCTTCATCTATCATTGGGGGCTGGTACAGTAGGCCAGTTAGTGGCCGATGTGCCTAGTGGACTCAGTCTCACCCCACCTCAGGAAACTAAAAGAAAGTCCTCCCTCTGCTTATATCTGTTCCTTTTTATCGTCTGCATGGCTTACTCTTCCACCATGAAGCTAAATGTAAGAGGTCTGACTCAGACATCGGTGAGGATCCACCACATGGCATTAGAGCCCACAAGTCAGTGCTCTTCTTGAACTTACCATGTTATTAAATCAGTGGTGTTTGGTATGTTCTGTTAGGAAATGGCGAAGATACTTTCACATCCGAGAGTCTATAGTTTCCTTCATATCCCAGTGCAGTCTGGAAGTGATGCGGTGCTTGGAGACATGAAAAGGGAATACAGCCGAGCGGATTTCCAGAGAGTTGTTGATTACTTGCGTGGAAGGTATTCAAGCCCATATTTCGACTACAGTATTTCATATTGAGATATAGTTTTTTCTTTTAAGCTTTTTCCACTGCCATTCTGTAAACTCAGGTATCCAGCTTTCTTCCTGTTATTTTGCACTGTTCCTTTGACATTGCCACTTCCGTGTCTCGTCTAACAACCAAGATCCTCCTCTCACAAATCTCCGTGTTTCCAGAACTATCCTAACCTGTGGTTCCCATCTTGGTCTTGGTCTTTCTTCAGTGTATTCCTTTTCTTTTCATGTTAAAATCCTTTTGCCCTCTCTCTTTATTCAATCTTAAAATATTCCCTTACCATATTATTCTGTTATTTATCTTCCAGTGTTCTTATATTTAAATTCTCTGTAATTATTATGTTTTTACTCTCTCTCCTGGAAAGATTTTAACTGGAGTTTTCTGAGATGTGATCCATCACTGATGTTTGAAGTGCATACAACGGTGACTATTAAAATTACTGTCTTCTGGGATGTGACGTCATGTAGTCAGATTGATACTAGTTGCCGTCACCTCACTTTGACCATGAAGATAGAATTGGTACGTTTCCCCAAAGTGCTGGCATCTGTCCATCAAACTACACGGCGTCACATCCTGGAAGACAGGCAATAGCACACCGAAACTTGTGCATTACAATAGTTTTGCTATGAGGATGTATAATCCATGTTTTTTTTATTTGCTAGTGTTCCTGGGGTCACCATCGCTACAGATATTATTTGTGGGTTTCCAACAGAAACAGAAGAAGATTTTGAAGATACCATGAGTCTTTGTGAGCATTACAAATTTCCAAGTTTATTCATTAACCAGTTTTATCCACGGCCAGGCACGCTTGCTGCACGGATGCCCAGGCTTCCAGCCCAAGAGGTAGCCATGCCAAGAAATTTACAAGATTTTTCTGCATGTGATATTACTTGTTTCTGTTTTGTGCATAATACCAGCAATGGTGTATGGGACATTAATGCATCTTTGATGAGAAATAAAGGTTATATAATCCATAAGCAAGTGAACCTATGCTTCACCCGGGACATAGTTGCTTTCCTTGTCAGTGTCTCAGTATGTAGAAGCTAAAACTTTACAGAACAGATAACACTCAGACTAAGTAATTAAAGTTTACTTATTATGTAACAACAACAACAATAACAATAATGTTACGTATATGGGGTAAGCGTGACTCATGATAATGGGTTCTAGATCAGATGAGTGGCTTTATTGGACATTGCCAGTCATAACTGCAATTACTTCTTACACTCACAAGATCACTGTAACTATTACATACGAAATGTCTTCAATGTGTGTTAACGCTTCAACTGTTCAGCTGCCTTCTTAATTCTCCTGGTCCAAACTCTCAACTCAACTCAACTCTCCTGGACTCCCTATGACTAAATCTTCTAATCAGCCAGACATATTTTTTTCGACAGAAAAAGGTGGGTCAGGATTTTCTGTGTTGCTGTTTCCTTAGCTTGGCAGGCAAGATTAACTTTTTACACTGTTTCTCTTAACCACGTACAGACCAGATTAAATATTCTGACTTCCTAATTGTGTTTAACTTTACATGCTCTGAGATGCTGTTCACTATTTTCTATGTGCCACATGATTCAGTGAGATTGCCAGAATTGAAAGGATAAACTCCCAAACACTGAGTGTCAATTGCCACTGGTGATTGGCCATATCTTTTTACCCCTAGTTTTACGTGACTTAATCCATACCATAAATGAGGTATTGTCACCTAATAACAGATATTGCTGTGTTTGTTTGAAACAGGTGAAGAAGAGGACAAAGCAATTATCAGAGTTTTTTCAGTCTTACCATCCTTACAGTCATAAACTTGGAGAGGTGCAGGATGTGTTAGTGACCGAAGTATCACATGATGGGAAACATTACGTTGGTCATAACAAATTTTATGAACAGGTGATTATGAGTATTCTCACATGGGGGGAAATTTGCATGCCCCTGAAGCAGTCTGACAGACTCCAGGAGAGTGAGTGGGCCACATCTGGGCTGGAATTCTGTGCTGTTTGCACTCTCACTAGAGAAATAACAAAGAGAAAATAATGGAGACAGTGGCATCAAATTAAAGTCTTAATCACTGACTGGTCACAAAAATTATTTTGGAGCATTACACACCTAAATAATATAAATCAAGGCTCACTGATTCTGAATTGTGTCAGCCATGATGCCGTCAAGTAGAGAGAAAAAAACAGAACAGAGAACAGCTGAGATCCACACATCACAGTGGGATTTCTGAAACAGTTTCTTATCGTATGACAGATTCCAAAGTAGGAAGGGGTGATTTGAGACATTTTTCTGGAGCTGTGTGGTGGTGGAGGAAACCAAATAAAATGGAATATTTATTTAATGTTTCTCAATTCAATGTTTTCAATGATCGAAGATGTAATTTTGGCGATCCCGAGTCAGTAAAGTTAGTGTTGAATTTCTTCCATGCAAGATTTCCCATAGTTCAGTGTTCATATCCAATAGTCCCAAAAGGACACTTAAATTGGGTTTCACTGTAAACAGCCTTAAATGCTAAATTTTACTATCATTAAATGACTTTAAACTTGGTCTGCATTTCAAACTTTTAAACACTGTTACAGGTGCTGCTGCCGAAACGTGCAGAGCTGTTGGGGAAAATGGTGACTGTAAAAATTGTATCCACCAGTAAGCATTCTATGAATGGTGAGCCAGTTCTAAAGGACTCACCATGGTCATCTCCTGGTCTTACCACTCCACCGTCTCTGGCTGAGACATCTGGAACTCACAGAATTCGGATTGAAACTGCCCCTTCATCTCATCGTCTGATTCCCTACACCCTCCTTATGCTGCTTCTAGCCATTCTGACAAGATTAGTGTGGTTAATATTGTGACATCTTTCATTTGTTATACTGTGATCATGACTTGAGCTATGTAAATACTTAGATATGGTGTTTTGAAATGGAAAGCTACTGTATATAAAGTATTTTAAATATTTTCTCTGAGTATTTAAAACAGAATATGTTTCAGTGGTGTGTAAATGAGATCATTTAATTGAAGTTCCCATGGCATTGAATTCATTCAGCATCCAGATAATATTCCTTGATTTGAATTTGAATTTCAGCAATCACAAAATCTCAATATTAAATTTCCTGCATTTAAGATGTTCCTCAGTTTAGTGTTCAAATCCATTCCTCCGCAAACTTCCTCTGAAACTTTCTATCAGACTATGCACAGTTGCATCACAGAAGACCGATTTTCATGTTCACCACTGTGAGTCCCTCAGTCTCGCAGTATGATGTACTTCATAGCAAGAAGCCCAGGTCAGGCAGTCTGGGATGTGTGGTGGACAGTGGCACTCTGATTTTCCCTGCCAATTCTTATTCCACAAACTGCTCTACACTGATCATCACAATATATCACCTGCCACTGGTATAAGAGACTAAATAGGGGCCTAGTGTCAATTAGTTTAACAATTAACAACTTAGCCAGTGAAGCAGAAGACAGCAGTTTACTTGTCCAATAATTTTAACATATGATGACCACACTGGGCGAAACATGTAGTGAGAACATTTTGTTGAAGTGAATATCTCTTATAGATTTTATAGAACATTACTGTTGCATGTGAGGCTGTAAAAAACTAATTGACACTAAGTGAAAAGTGTAACAGGATGCTACAATATTAAATAGTGGCCAACATACCAAGCAGACTCTGTCTTGCCTCACCCCACGAACCTTAAAACTAAAGGCTGTAACAGGAATGAGGTATGAACCAGGAAGAGTGTGTGGTTACATCAGACAAGTGACTTATGATATCGCAATTCCCAAAGGCCCTTTATTCAAAATAAATTTTACATTACAATACTGTTCTGTGTATACAACAAACTAAATTCAACTTGGACAAAAATTACATTTTGTCCATCACTGGAAATACTATAGTGTACATATGGGCTTACAAAATGATGAAGTACTTACCCACATTTGCAATGCATGCTAAGGTAATGGACACTAGCATTTTAATTCTGTGAACAACTGAATGACAGCCACTTGTACCGTTATCATAACCTATACAACGATTTTATGTAACACAGTACACATTGATGCAAATATATCATACAACATCTGTTTCTGTCTTTAATTTTCAGTGAAGAATATGTAATTTGATTATTTTAGCTGCTTATGAATCCAAATTATTTTTTTAGACAATTATTTTTAATCGCCATTAAATTAAACTAATTTTAAAAAATCATACAAAATTGTGCCGACATGAAAGTTACGGATGCTAAGGGATACATATGTATCCCATTATGTTTTATGTTCACTTATGATCCAGAATGTTAATGACTTCATATTCCTAAGTGAACACAATTTTCAAAGCGCAATAAAAATGACTGACAAAACTTTCCCAGACTTTAATGCACAATGCAGTAGGTACACACTACAATAAAACCCCCTGTTCAGGTTTCTTTGGCAATTAAGATATACAAAGGTACATAAGAAGACACTACTGTATCAACATTTGCTTTTATTATGCTTTTATAGATGCAGTATATTTCGACCCTTACACCAGGTCATCATCAGGCTTTGGCAAGTTCTGGATTTGAATACCAAACTGGAAAATCTGAAATGGAGGACACTTAACACCGAGATTATTGATGTGGGATCACTAACATTGCAGTGTAATGAATCGAAATGTTAAACTGAGATACATTAAAAGGGGGTTGGAGTGTCGTGTAAACAGAGATCTTATAATGGACGGTAATATACGTGTAAGTACTTCATCTGAAACAGCAAATAACAGTTCAGGGAAATATAAGTATACATTATAGATCCGGAGACTCGTGTCACCAGATCTGCATAAACAAATAGGAACAAAGATATGGTGACTAGTCTATCGCAAACTGACAGTGTTATGTAGGGAAAAAAAACAACCCTACAATAAAAGAAAAGAATGTCAGGACTTGACAGATATTACATTCATTCTGAATAACATCAAAGGGAAAGAGTAAATGTAAATCATTGTAGGAAAGAAAACTCACGCCATTTTACTCTTTTTCAACTGCATATTTCAGACATTTTCGTTTTTCTTAAATTAATAAATGCTCAAAGTTTGATTCACTGTTAAAAGACAGTTATAGTGCACACAGAGAAACATTCACATATTTGCAGGCAATTCTTAAGAACTGTATGGAAATCCCCCCTCCCCCAATCAAGAAACAAAATCCACAGCATCTATTAGAAGACCCAACAACTGCCTCTCATAAAGAAAATGTTACAACTGATGGTAAACAAGCTGTAACAAAACAAAGTCACTGACTAGGAGAGCGATTATCCTTAGAGAACAAAATAGTACTCCAAGTTATAAAACAAATTCAGATTAACATCCATCAGCCTGAATTGCAATGTTTACAGTGCATGCATTTGTCCAGCTGGCCAGGTCTTGGTTTCAATTCTGATACAGTTATGGAATTAAAATCCCCTTTTCCAGGGCAATTCAAATTTCCTACACATTACAAATATGTTGCAGATGGCATTAAAAATGTGCAAACTTATTTTTCATAAGTTCGTACGCAACACCTGGGTATGATTACCTCAAAATATAAACAATAAAAACAAATGTCTAGTTGCTGTTAAATATTTGTACCAAGCAAAAAGAAATTTAAACTTCTCAATTAATGATATTTTATGGGGAAAAAAACTGAGAGAGGAACATTTGTATAAGTTATGAAGTTGGAAAGTGAACAAATAGTATAACAGAAATATGCAGTGTTCACTTATTTGTTGTCCCCCCCCCCCAAATCAGTTTTTCTCACCTTATCTAATTTTACATATACAGTGAAGTCTCAAAAATTCAGACTAGAAGAGGAAGGTGCACCTTGTGCAGAATGGAAAAATCCTGCCCTGCCAGGAATCGAACTGGCGCCATCCAGCCCGCAGCCCGTTGCTGTACTGATTAAGTTATAGAGGAATGGGAAATATGCATTAGTGAAATGCCTGAATTACATGTAAATATTTGAAGTACAATATATGTACTTCAATATTTATTTATGCTGAAAGGAAGTGGGACTAACACGAAATTCTTGTTTAGGAAAATTTCTTCCATGTAAATAAAATATGTATGTAAAGAACAAAGGTGGTCCTAATTAGTGGGTTTCATTTCATTACAATTCCACAGTTGTGATATACTTTGGCTACTATATACTTTGAAAGTTACCTAATTGTATTATAAAGACATTAGTGTACAAAATGTATAACAACTCTCTTATATTAAAACATAATGTTTCATGGAAAGATCATTTTGCTTATCACCTATAACCTAATTTTTGGCCTTTTTTTTTTCAAAAGAAATTCATAATACATTACAAAACAGTAAAATCAAATTTTATCTTAAATACAATGAGATCATGGTTACTCTCAAGAAAATCACACAGCGTTAAATAATAGTTTCAATAAAAAATAACATAATCTATCTCCTGGGATATCACTCTGTGTGAAAGTCAACCTTGTTTCAGAAGAACATGTACTTTCCATTTTCAGGGTTGAAGAGTAGGCCATGCAAGAATCAGGTGACAGAATGCACTCTTCTTGCTGCCTGCTTCATGCTGGTTTCTTGCTCGTCTTACTCTTCAACCCTGAAGGAGCTACATGTTCATTGGAAATGTCGGTTGGCTTTCACCGGACTACACAGCATTATATTTCAGAATGCAGAACCCTTATAACCATATCCCAAACAAAACACACATCAGTTTAAAAATCCTTGTCAATTAAGTACAAATAAACACTACTGCCATATAGGGTGAGCATTACTGATGTTATGGAGAAACTTGCTTCTTCAGGTAAAACAGAGAAACATGGTACAGATACTAGGAGCAGGACTGGAACTGGGTCCAAAATCTTTCCCTCTCCATCTACCAATTTCTATCAGCCTACTCTTCTACCCTGAAGATGGAAGCAGCAGGTTTCTCCAAAACAGTGGCAATGCTCTATCATACTATGCAGTGTCACAACCCAGAAGTCATCTCATGTCATGAAAACCTAAAATCTCATTTGTCGACTACAGTTTCATTCCTATTTCAAGATTAAATTTACTTTTCATCATTGCTCTTCATTAAAGATTATTCCTTCTTTGTATTCCTTTGTTGGACACTACATATTTTGGCCTAACTGGCCATCTTCAGGTATACAGGTTGTTATGGTAAGTTTTCTGCTGCTCACTGTAATGCAGTTTTCTTTCCTCCTATTATAGTTGCCTCTGGTTATTTCGGTTATGTGGGTTACAATCAGTTTTATTTAAGTGTCCTTGGGTAGTGCATGGTTGCTTTTGGTTTTGTTTGGTTTGTTGGTTGTTGCTACCAACATTTCTTGAACCTGTAGGACGTTGGCCTGATCCAGATGTATTCAAGTTTCTTCTGTAGGTTCAGTTCCAAAGTAACGGTCCCCAAAGTTACCAATGCCAGGAAGGACATAGAACTTTTCATTAATTTCTGGATCCAATGCAGTTGTTACAATGCGAACTCCAGGAAAAGCATATGCTATAGAATGTACTCCTGTAAGCAAGATTAAGTACTGAAGTTGTGAAAAGCAACACAAAAAATAACTCAGCAGTTGGTAAAAATGGGAATACTTCTGGCTTGCAATCAGGAGGCACCTGATTTTAAATCCTGGCTAGGAGATGAAATATTCTGACAGGTTGTTCATGGGTTTTCTCAGTCCCTACATGAAAATGAAAGGACAGTGCCTTAAATCAGGCCATGAGCACTTGCTTCCGTATCTTTACCATTCTTTATTCACCATCATCCAGTTGCTTGACACCACACAATGTGAGTTAAATAAACTACAAATAAACACCAGTAGGACATTCTAATAATAAAGCTCTATTAGAAGGTAAAGTGTTTTTGGGGAACTTCGTTTAAAGATACAGAATTAACTGCAATTTAAATGTGACAGAACAAAACACATTCTGAAATGTCACACTTGCAAATAACACAAACCCATGGATGTACAAGTCGACAGGGCAACACAATACGGAGAATCGGGAATGGAATACTCTAGCGATTGTTACTATCCTGCTTACCTATTTCAGCCATGAGAAGAGATACAATAAGAATGTTTTCCTCTGGCACATCATGATCGAGCAACACTCGGATTGCCATCATGGCAGCTGCTCCTGTGGCGACAGTAGCGTCCATTAAGATCACCTTATAGTCCTTTATGTCCTTAGGAAGCCTCAAGTAATACAACTGAAAATGGTACACAGGTGCATAAAAATTTAAAGTTCGCTGATGTACAAGTATACAAATTGCGATGTAAAAGTACAATTTGTATTGTAGTTCTAAAATAGTCAAAGGAGAGACAAATTCTGGTCAGGAGGGATATCATACTGTCCGTATCGTACCATGTCTGTGTTACTTATCTTGCGCTACAACAGCAGCTAAGTCACTTTACTATGTTAAACCTGACATCAACAGCTAACAAACATAACAGCAGAACGGCAAACAAGATCTAGAAGTTCATGACGATGGTTTATTAATTAAATGACTGAAAATTTGGATGTTACCCACTGCTGGAGTAGCAAGCATTAACTTTCTGTACATAAAGCTACTTCAACACCAAAGTATTAATTTCAAGGTCACTCACTTCTGGTTCTCCTGTGGATAAGTTCGTTTGGATCAGAATCTTTCCAATACGAATGTCCTTACAAACGTCGCACACGGCTTGCTCCATTGTTTCTCCTGCTCTTAAGATCGATACACCACAAATCTTGTTGCTTGCTGATCGCTTTCCGTGGTACAGCACGCCTTGCGGTGTTTCCACTATCTGCTCCTGAAATAACATAACTTTCTGTTCCCCACGCTGATAGAGACAGATTGTCTCACTCGTTCACACTACAACCAACACATGCATCCATCTCTCTCATAGAAACTGGACCCCTACTGTCAAATCTATTACAGGTACTGGTGGTTGCATTTCAACTCAGGGATAATGGCACAGTAAATCTCTATAATGTCTCCAGGGGAATGGTTTTTCTTTTTCAACACTGAATGGGGGTTACACAAAATTACATCAATAAACCGTTCATCTTCTAGCAATATGTACTGGATATAATCATGACAAATTTATCACAGGTGGATATCTGCCCCTTTCATTCCTACAGTGCACTACTCACTCTTGGTGCAAGTATCCAGCGAAGTAGCTGACACATAGCGCAAACTGGTTAGCAATCACTATCTCATCTTGAGGTACAATACGACCAAATGTCAGCAATGTTACTGATCATATAACAAAAATATTCCAGGGCTGTGGATATCCTTCCAGTCTCTCTCATACATTGGGCTACTGTACCTACAAACTTTCCAGCAACATCAGCTCACCTTGAAAGGCAGCAGCGATAAAGCGTACTCAATAACTAAACGGATTAATCGTTTAGAGTAGAATATGAACTCGTCCCTTGGAGTATCCTTGTTACGAATGAAGGTATGAAGACCTTTAATCTGCGGAGTTGAGGGCAGCAAATGGATAGAGTCTGGTAGGGGCTGTCCGATGTATGAGTGCGCCAGTTTCTCACGCAGTTTGAAACCCCTCTGACAGACACAAGAACAACAAGTATTATAAACATTACATATAACACACATATTCTGTTCAATTGAAACACGTTTAAGAATTCTTCTGGGCAAAGGAGCAGAAGAACAGTTCCCATGGGAAACTGAGGCAGGCATATCAACTGATCTGCTGACGACTCCCATCCGTACAGAATTCCCTGGGTTGCTGCCAGAATCACTGCCCCAATGTAGCCTTCATCTCACCCAAATCTATGATCCTTTAGCATATACTTGGGGGGGGCCGAGAACATATGTCCTGCAGCGACAGGTCAGGGCCAACACTGTGCAGCAAATGGAGGGCAGTGTGTCCTGGAAAGTGCAGACCACTAGGAAATGAGCACTGTAATGCAGCATGATGACACACTTCACGGGCAAGCTGGGACACTTCTTCTTGAGGGCTGTGGAGGGTTCCAAGGTAGTGCTCCATATCGATGATCTCAGGGTCTCTGAACAACAGCTCGCTGGTGCTGTTTCGACAGATTCTGAACTTGGAACACAAGCATTTAACTATGTCACACACCAGTTGCTCTGCTGCACGGCCACGTGATCATCCATGACTGGCCTAATATGGCTAGTAGTACCACAAATGAATTTCATTTGAACCTACACACTTGGGTACAAAGCATTTATAAAAGAACGAGTTACCAACAGTCTGAAGAAAATAAAAAGTTAGATTTTCAACTTTTATCATATCAATGTGGCAACAAATGTTCAAGTTACACAAAAGAGGTGGAATTTTCTGGTCAGTCCGACAAAGACTCTCCTTCAGGGAGTTGCTCATTTGTTAGTTTATATGAATAAGGATTATTATAGATGGTCTCCAGGTGGAGATTTGAAACAATAACCTCACAAATATGATGCTGAGTATTACAAACTGGACTGCAACATTTCGTCCAACTGAGGTTACAAATTTCATTTCATTCATTTTAAGAGAACTAAGCTTAAGAACAGGAATGTCTGAACCCCACTAATTACAACGCGACTGAACATGTCTGCAAGTTCTCCGGATGCCAAACTCACCAATTGCAGCTGTGTATGCACATGATGAACTATCAACTCAATAGCCACTTCATTTTCTCCACCTCGAGGAACGATAATGTCAGCATGTACCATTGACGGCGCGATATAGTGATAGAATGCTGGCTTCACAAGGTTACAGTACTGTTTCAAGACTCCTTCCAAGTCTCGGCCCCGCTGACAGATGTCACGCTTCAATCTCCGAGCCAATCGAACATCAGCATCTGTGTCCACAAATATTTTCATATCCAGCATCTGTAATTGAACATCACAGTTCTACGGAGCTTTTCAACAGTATGAAGAGAACACTTCATCTAAGGCACTGAAAACTAAGATTGTTTCTGATACCAGGTCAGTCACGCCGTCCAAACAGTCGTATCATGTCTCTCTCTGCAACATTTTGAAGTTCGTACTTATAATGTGGTATTATTTCATGTTATCATCAATAGATGTCTGCCTTGAGTCCTGTGTCATCTTTCTTTGATCAAAGAATGCATTTTGTTTATCAATATACATCTAATTTTAAAAATAAGACATTTTCCATAACCATACTGCAACAGTAGGGACTGGGTGCATGGACCTTAAAGAAGCTTTCAGGGGGTTTGAACTCACATAAGGAAAGATTCATGTGTGTGGAACAAACTGGAACTCACCTTCAATATTTCAGCAGAATAAAATGCCAATATTCCTTCAAAGATTATGACATTGGCACCATACATAGTTTTCTGAAATGAAAGAAATATGTGAATACTAAATATATTATTCAGTGGTAGAAATGAGGAGAGAAATATACAAAATGAAAACACTGAGAGATTTTAAGATAAATACAGTGGATAATAATGTGTTATTATATTATCATGTTTGAGAAATGAACACAGTTTCAAACATGAAACAAAGAAGAAACTGTCCCTCTCAAGATCCAGCAGGGCACAATACTCAAGATTCTCTTCACATGGTGAACACGCTGTTAATGGTACTTTTATTATTATTATTATTATTTTTGGAGGGGGTGAGTTTCCCCATGCACTGTGACCAGTTGTTGATCTATTGTGCGTCCCCCTATAATTATTCTACTAGTCGCCATGCCCTTCCAGTACTGGTGCTCACTATCAGCCCCGTTCTGCCAGCGAGGTCGGCCCTCTCTGGCAGTGGTCCCCAATACTTCCCCATCTACCAGAGGCATTGGAAACTACTTTGGGCAGGAAACTTTGCCTAATTTTGCTCAGACGTCTCCTAGAGACATGAGGATCTTTTACGTGCCATAAATCTATGACATGGGACACACGGCTTAAAATCCCTCCCGGAGGACTTGTTCCCCGAATTTTTCCGCCCTTAAAAATTCCATGACCTCCGCTGGGTTTGAACCCGCATACCTTGAGTCATGACGTGGGAACGTTACCCGCAGACTACAGAGGCTGCTTTAATGGTACTTTACTGTACACATATGGAAGCAAGTACGTTTAACATATGCTCTACAGTTTGAAGAATTCTTACCGTCCTGCTCTCGCGTGAGTGAGTCACAAAATTATAGATGGGAACCTCAACTTTTCGGCCCTCTTTCAATCTCTGTAGGGTGGCATGCATAAGTTCAAAATCGAAAGCATCCGGGTGGTCAAAGTTGTACTCATTTTTTGCAGCGAGCTCGTGCTGCTTCTCACTAAGCACCTGTAACATTCAAACAAGCTAGGAAATGTACGCATTTCATTCTCTCTGTTATTACCTCCACACAGCATAAAAACTTGTAATAATTTTGAAAACCATAAGTGCACTGGACATAACATGTGTTTCATTCTTCTATATAAATTTTATTCAAAACATTTTTCACTCAATAAATATTTCAGAATTTATGATCGGGAAGCACTCTGAAATGTAACATCTTCATGCAAAGTCCCTATTACTACTAATAAGATCTGAAAGTTTGTGACAATGGTATATTGCTACAAGTATTATGTTTTTGGACATTATCCATAGTCTTGTCTATTTTTTAAAAAATCGTCCTGTTTCTTTTTCAAACCACGTTTCCAGTCTCTGAAACATTGTGTTTTGAAAAAGAAACAGGATGGTTTTTTAAAAAATAGACAAGACGATGAATAATGCCCAAAAACATGACACTTGCAGCTCTATTACTACTGCCTGATTTTAACCCCTATGTACCCAGGTCTGGCCTGTGAGACTAGAACAGCTGGCTGTATTTTGTTATTGGTTCAACCAATGAACTGTTTCCTGCCTCACATTAAACCCCATTATGGAACAGGCTGGTCTAGTGGCTGGTCTCTAGGCCTGTATTTGAGAGATGCTCACTTCGAATCTCGGCTGGGACACCACTTACTGTGGTATTCCTCAGTCCTTCCAGGTAAATGCCGGGATAGTATCTCAATTTGGCACAACTTCAGCCTTTGAAATCCTTTTCAATACATCACACATCCTACCATCAGATGCTATACAGTAAACCCTCGCTAATCCGGTTACGGTTAATCCAGATCGAATAGTTGTAATTTATTTTTATTACCATATTTGTATTAATTCTATGTAAAACTGTTTCAGATAGCTACTGTAAAATTTATGACATGTATATTAGATTTACTGTTATACTATTGTTTTATATTTATAATGACAGTTTCTATATCCTATAGGTCTTTGACCTTGTATGGTTTAATGGAATGTAATTAAATAATAATAATAACAGTAATGTGAAAACTGAAAAATTCTGTTCACAGTTGAGTACATACTTTAAAAGGCATGTGGGATTTAGGAGCAAGAGGACTTTCAGGCTGTGCCAAGAGCAGCTGGAGAGACTGAAATCACGCAAGAAAATATCCAAGATTGGTTTAAGCCGGATGGAGACCCTGCATTTCAGCTTCCGACAGAGGAAGAAACTGCTGCAGTGATATTTTTCTCTTTTATTTATTGTCATCAGCCTTTTCATCAAAATTTCTATTCATTTGTTTCTAAGTTTCTTTTCATCTTTTAGGACTATCTTTCATTTTATTAATCCATATGATGTCTCCCCCCTCCATTAATTTGGAATAGCGAAGGTTTACTGTACAGGTTGGCCACTGACAGCTGTTCATTTACACAACTGATCTGATAGATTGGGCCTTGTTACTAACATTATGTATTAATATTGCAGTTATAATCCACAGTGATCCAAATTGTGATCATATTATCTAAGGGTGACTGGAGAATGAATGAACTGGAGCAGACAGACATGAAGACTTTTACAATGATCACTAATCATTTCCTCAGGTGGCGATACAGACAGTCCTACAAGTAATGGTCTTGGTTCTAACAGTTTAGTTCAGTGACATTGTGCTCTTCCATGGAAATTCTTATGGGAAGAACAGGACAGGCTCTCACATGATCCATATATAATTAGACTGCACAACATCACTGCAGGGTCATACGCAACCGAGGTTACCTTATAGAACGAATCCATACTGAGCAACGTCACCCATGGCACATCAAGTGATTCGATTATTTTGGTAGCAACAGTTGTCTTCCCTGATGCGCTTCCCCCACATATGCCTGTAAGATTACCAACATAACAAACAGTCACATCAGAGAAATGCAGAAAGATGGGTTAACATCAAATTCCAGTACACCCCTTATTAATCCAGATTAATTGAGGGACTGGTCAACTGGATTAAGCGATAATCAAGACTAAAAGCAAAAGACAGCCCTAAAAGACCAAAAGAAAAACTTAGCAAAAAATAAATGAAAAATATAATAATATAGGTAGTGTTGATGAAAAGAAATATCACTGTAGCAAATTCTTCCTCTGTCAGAAGCTGAAATCCAGGGTCTCCTTCAGCCAGCTCAAGTCAATCTTGTGTGGTTTCAGTCTCTCCAGCTGCCCTCAACACAGTCTGAAAGTTCCCTTGCTCCTAAATCATACATGTTTTTTAGAGTATGTACTCAACTGTGGACAGCATTTTCCATTTTTCATATTTTGATTGGGATTATACAACATCTGGATTAGCTATAACCAGATTAGTGAGGGTTTAATGTAATCTGAAACAGATGCATCCCTTTAAAACATAATGTCCATCCAACCGGTATTTAAAAATTGACTTCCTGATTTACATAGAACACACTGCATGTCCATTACAAAGTCCATCCAGTTAACACTGTTTAGGGAAATTAAAGCTGTACATCATGAAAATCACAAATACATTCTGTGAACACACTTCAGGATCTTTCAGTGTTAAAGGTGGTACATACAGTTATCATTGTGCTTTAAGACGTTAAATGAATAAAACAGTGTAACTACATACCAATCACAAATGGCTCAACTTGTTGTCCTGCAGAATTGTACCATGGAGGTCGTCCTGCTGTGTATATAGTTCTTGTATGACTGCGAAGGATGGATTCTGTAGAAGTTATCTTGGAAGACTGCGACATGGATGCAGTTCGTTGGCGTTTTGATCTCGGAGACTTTTGTGAACCTGTAGATGGTGGTCTAGGAGACTGGGGTGGGGGAGGAGAACTTGGGGTTGGATAGTAATCATTATCCTTCTCATCTTCTTCAGTTTCCTCCTGAAGGAAAACTTGATCACTACTTTCTACTTCACAACCATCACTGAAACAAAACATTCGTTCCTTTTTACAATTTCTGCTGCTCAAAAAGGATATTCAATTCCAGACATTATAACATATAAACCTACAATATATTTGTGACAAAGACTGTGGTTTCTCTCATACTAAATTCCAAAATGCTATTACACCGTAACTCGATCTGTAAATTTAACGCCGTGTACTTTATCTAACAGTACAGTTTTCCGTTAACCGAATGACAAGTCTGCTGCTTCGTGTCACGTTTACGTGCTAGTCCACCTTCAATAAATTACCAATAAATGAAGGCTATCTACAAAACTTGTTCACCTTTGTATATGGCAATGAATCAACATTGAATTTCAGCTTTTAATAACACAGCAGGGTGAACAGTTAACTACGGAACCTTGTCTCTTCGTTCGACAAACCGCTATCCTCCTACACCAACAAAAACTGGATCTCAGAATCCCGCCTTTGTATTTTGAAATGGTTCGGAGTGTGAGAGTGCAGGATCTAGTTTCATGACATCATAATAAGTCCATAAACTGTAAATTATACACGAATTTAAAATTCAAACAGCGCGTGCAATAAAACTGTCATAAATTTTTTTCGTAATAGGGGCAGAAAATGGAAGACAATCCTGCGCATATCATGTCCTTGCCCAATCTTAATAAATTTTGCTGACGATGAACATGTGATTACTTCGTGTGCGTTGCAGAAGCTTCATCAACTACTTAATTGCCTAAGGAAAATTCATTCTGACTGTATACGCCACTACAGCCACGTGTATCATGCTAGTTACTATACCAATCGCTGTGATTTTTTTTTTACCTCTCTGAACTTGCTGAGCTAGGTGGATCAAACTGCTGAACCTTCGCTGCCATTACGGCAAACGACAAGAGAAGTATTACACGCGCCGCTGGAGGTGTTGCTATGACAACCAATATAAACAAACTACAGACAGAAACACGCGAATGAATCTATGAATTTGCTAGATATTTAAATCTACTTAACGATATAAGCAGAACAAAGGAATGGTAAGAAGTAAGTAGTATAATAATTTAGAGTATTTCATTTTCTTGTTACAAACTAACTGCCACCAATTTTGTCAGCTTCGAAGTTTTCACGGTGATGACTGCCTGACTATTAAAGTTAACATCATATGGGGCGATCTGGGGTATGTTGCCACGTAGTTTTGTAGACGATCACCGATCGACGTTTCGGAGAAACATACTGCCTCCATACTCAGGATTGAAGAGGAAGCCAAGCAACCAGCAAACACAATAAGCCACACATAGAAAACTTGTTTCAGAAAAAGCTCTGCTTGTTGCCAGATTCTTGCTGGTTGCTGGCTAGGCATCAACCCTGAAGATTTTTTTTTCTTTCATTTATTCACCCTCCATAAATCTTGTCGAAAGTACACTCTCATGCGGATGTGGAGATCATCCTAGTTACAGTCACAACTAAGGATTACAGTTGTCATCCAATAGCATACACATTTGTATAAAATACTGATAAACATATACAATATAATAAATAAGTTAATTTTAGTAGTAAAAGTAATGGCAAACCTTATACAATTTGTACAGTTTTATACAAGTCTATTAATTAAAAATTCAGTAGTTAACACAATGTCATTAATGAGTTTTGTATAACATACATTAATTATATAATAAATTGAAATAAATACTAGTATACAGTAATATAAAGATTGTGTATATCTAAAATAAGCATCTAAAAACTAAAATCTAAAAGATGGAAGCAGAATATTCCTCCGAGACATCTGTGAATTTTTGTCTGATTACACGGCGTCATATTCCAGAAGACAGTTCTCACCCACCACTTTTAACTGAAAATACATGAAGAATATTCTGCTGCAGCAAAGCTGTGTGTATAATTCTAGTTACAGAGCAACTTGTCAGAAAGCGATCAGAGCACAATGAAGGAGAAATATCAACGCTAGAAGAAATATCTCTGCACCAAGAGAACATCGATAAAATCGAGGGTCTTGACAAGTGGTGCCGTCATCTTAAGATATTACTTTTACAGTCAAACCTTATCCCCAAAATTGGTAAAGTACTAACTTATTTTCAAATTATTATCTGTGTTCATTGTTAAAATTAGAGAAACATGACAAAACACTGAAAACAAATCATTCTAATTTCCCTATTGCCCAATCTACCAGTCATAAAATTTAAATTTTACTTGCTCTTATTAAACACAGGATATAATAATATATTGTTACTGAACTATTATTTTTGAACTGGTAATCACAGTAGCACAGTAAACTGACTATTATTCATCACTGAAACTTAAGAAGCAGCAATTTATAGTAGAGAGGAGAAATATGCATTGTTTTGATCAGCATATTTTAATCTTTCCCAAAATAATACATGACAAATGTAGGCAATATAGTTAATTCCTCCTTGCTTCTATGATCATCTACGAACCTTGGTATCCTTTATGACATGCTCAGTTCTCTTTATCATTTGCTTTCTGCTTCCATCCCTTCACTTTCACCTCGTGTAAATATTCTCTGGATCTTCCAGCCATATTAAACTGGACCTTCCCACTTTTCTTCTGTCTTGTGGCTTACTTTGTATAGTTTCCATTGACTTTCTTTACGCCATCTATTATTAAGTTTCATAATTTTTAGTGTTTCGAGTAGAGGTTGTTAGCCTGACTGGCCAATTCTCAACCTGGAAACCAAGGGCCTACGTTTTGTCTGACCCCTATCCTTTGATTTATCTAGCCTAGGTAACCTGACCAGGAGCTAATGCCCCTGCCAGCATAGCTCGCCAGATGATGCCTCCCCACCATGTTAACGTAATAGTCCAGGAGGAAGAGCTATGTTAATTATCTCCAAGTAGTTTTATCTTTGTGCGATTTAACAATTGAAAATAGTCAAAGGGATCTAAGAAGACGCACATGACAGTGAACAATATATTGATATACACGTTATGTGTTTCAGAAAATGTATCAAGATTGAAGAAACTTGAATATTTGAATTTGGCACTGAATAACATTGAGAGAATAGAAAATTTGGAAGGATGTGAGTCACTCCAAAAGTTAGATCTTACTGTCAATTTTGTTGGGGAACTCACAAGTGTGAAAACTTTGAAAAATAATATTCATCTAGATTTACTGTAAGTATGCTTGTTACCAAAACTGCACGTTTCAAAAGATGCACGTTATGAATATTACAGGCTGTACTATTTAAAATACAACACAAATTACAATGGTATATGCAAGCTTACAGGTATCCTCAGTTTTGTTGTTTTATTCAGTACTCCCTTATCGAAGCACACATTGCTATGTGCTTCATGAGCTGCAGCAAACAATTTCAATGCAGAGTAATGTTCGACGATTCACCCACATTCTGCTCATTAATGCCTCATGCTTATGCCTGCAGAGCACAATTCACGAGAGCAGCAAAGATTTGGAGAATCCATTGCACAGAGGGCACAGCTTCTGATTTCATTTCTCTGCCATAGTGTATGATTGTTGTTTGGGTTACATGTCAAGTAGTACATCCTGTATATCCCTTTTTATCCATCTAAATTTGATTGTATTTGGTGTGTTAAGGTACCTGACTGGAAACCCATGCACTGATTTCATAGGCTACAGAAAATATGTTATTGCAACTCTGCCACAGCTGAAAAGTCTTGATGGACGAAACATCGAGAGGTCTGAGAGAATTTTGGCAATGCAGGAATATAATGAAGTCAAAAAGTTGATTTTGTCCCAAGAGCAAGAATATAAAGGTTTGTTCCCTGGCTTGCTTAATGACGCTTTCTGAAATGAATATGCCAAGTAGTGTTTATTTTATTTATTTATGATTTATTTCATGATGCTGTGAGTTTCTCAGTCTCTGTACTGTTGAATGGTAGGATGATGAATGATGAATTGGAAAGGACAGACATGCGTTGTACAACGCACGCAGCCAAAGAAGAAGGAAACATCGCAAGACACAGTATACAAAAAATATAGGAGGAACGACTCCCATAGTGGATGAGCGATGTAATGTGCAAGTTTGAAATAAGATGTATAGTATGATAAATCTTAACAAATTTTAATATATATAGATTTTATTATGGTACATGAGGAATATACATTTTAAATCATTTTATAAACGACACATGATGGCGAGCAGTGCAATAATTTAACATAGGTGACACACCTGAGGATGGCACAGTGATGCCAAAACATGTAGTGAAGTGACATGTGAGATTGTGTGCACTAGAAGACGGTCAACACATACATATCATGGACGAGAATCAGTGCAACAGGACGCTAAAATGCAACATTACTAATTATACTTGTTATAAAGCTCCTCATTGTGTACTTTTTTCAAACCTCCCATCACCCAAATATTATTAAGATGATGAAATGAAGGAGATAAGGTGAGGGGGGGGGCCGTTTTGAACACAGTAATGAACCTCTGGATTTCACAAAGCGTTGGAAATTTCTTAACCAACTAGGCACCTACTACTTTTTCAAGAATGACTCTGCTCCATGGAGTTCGTATGTTGCTAACAACAGACAGTGAAGTAATAGCAATTCTGTTTACAGGGAGGAGGTTAGCCCAGAAACAGCAAGCCGAGCGAAGGGCAGAAGAAGAGGAGACAAATTATGCAGCAGCACAAGATAAGCCTGAAGAGGAGAAACTGCAAGAGTGAGGATAAACATAAATGTAATGTTGGTGTGATGCTAAAGCAATGAGAAATATTAACCTCACAAACAAAAACAAGTTAACCGTTCAGCGTGGTTTGACGTGTATGTTTCGTCAAGTTATTTAAATCATCTGGGGGGGTTAATATGGACAGAGACCGGCAGGGGGTCACGGGTAACCGTTTAAAAGCAACCAACACCTCAGGGCCGACATATCATATTAAAATTCGTTGAATTATATAAAGAATAAAAAAATTGAAAGATATTGTTCTGATTATCAACATCGTCAATCGTCGTCCTCTTTTTATTTAAAGAATAGCGTTTCGGAGACTGTATTCTGTCTCCACCGTTCAGCGTGGTTTGACGTGTATGTTTCGTCAAGGATTTAAATCGTCTGGGGGGGTCCGACGTCAATGTTTCGTCCAGCTGCACACCTATGTTATAACGCCCATAATAATTGATGGTTTTGCTGTAGATTGTTAGATTTTTCGCTGGCCTGTTGTCAGGAGAACTATATTTAATGACACACGAGTTTAAGAGCGCTAAGTCATCGTTACATATGCCTGTCTTGTAGCAAATTCCTGTTGCTTCTGGTAGAACTTTCCTCCTTCAAGCTGTTATGAATGGCGTGTTTTCTTTCCTATGAAGTTATAAACAGCAGAGACGTGATATGTGCTGTGTTTATAATATCATATTGCCCTGAGCTGGCCACACTAACACACTCAATTGGAATTCTTAGAAGAGGGATGTCCAAATTTTATTCTTGCAAGATCGATTGATTTCGCACAGTACATGGCAGCCAGTTCTTAGAAAAACGCCACAAATTAAGGCAGAACACTGTGGTCACCCCCTGTGACGATACGGGTGTGTGTGGGGGAGGGAAAAGAACTCATTCCTTCATGTATTATCGCTCCAGTTGACTCCATTTTATCGTATTGACCTTGGTGGTCGTTTCGAGGGATGACCATAAATATTTTTTTGAGCCAGCTAAGCTCTGCTTTCGTTCACTACATACCAGCCAGTTCTTAGAATAACTTCATGAATTCTGTGGTCACCCCTACGACGTCTTATGCCGC